GAAGCCGCACTGAGAGGACTGACATCAAACATTCTCTTGATGCCTTGCCTGACTGATCAGTACTTCAAGTGGGAGGCAAGTAATATAGAAGCTAGCTTTTTACAGCATGGAGAGTTGGCGATAATTCCCTCAGTCTGGGGTCACACCGCGGGAGGTGGAGGCAGCCCCGACGATACCGAGTGGATGGACCAAAGAATCAACCGGTTTTTGGGTCAGAGCTAAGTCGGTCTCAATTTTGATCTTGGTAGAAATCAGGAGAACCGCTAGTTATTCTTAGTCACAAACCACTTATATCACCTGTGTCATGGATCAGACAATTGAATCTTTGCCGAAGATGTACGCAACCTAGGCACTTTCTATGACTTACCCAGGTACGATGAAGATACCTAGTAAAAAGCAAAAAGATGTAGTGGTATTCCACGAGAAAGAAGCGGGTTATAGAAAAGTTCGTGCCTTACATGTCTTCCTGATGCCTGACAATGCTTGGTGAATACTCAATGGTGCAGGTCACAAAGACAAAAATATGGAGTCATTGCATTTTCACTCTTGCACCTAATCACCATGAAGAAAAAGCAAAGAACTGTAAATACGGAGGTTTTTTACTTAGGAAGACTACTTCTTATGCTAGAATAAATATCGAAAAAGAGCCCCAGAGAAACATCGATAAAGGTAACACTTTTTGTACTTGGTCTCCCCCCTCCGCGCGGCGGGGACAGGCCAGAGAGCCTGAGACTTGTAATTCCCAGAAATCCCATTGGAAAACATGATGTCCGGAAAATTAAGTGACGATAAGAATCATATCGCTATCTGCTTCTGTACCCTAACCCCGTCTCTGTCGGGCTGTCCGACAGCCTTTCGGTGGTGCTACCAATAGGCAATTTCCGCGAGTGAGGGGTGATTGTCGGACGTCATCATGCCGGCAGGTCATATAGTGAATCTACTGGTAGTATTAACCTAAGTTAATCTCTAAGCTACGACTTCCTGTTGGAGTGTATATAATCACCGACAGCATTTAACTCAGGCTCCTGGGGTATCAAGCGCATCCAGAATAATTATTTCGATTTCAATACTTCTTAGACACGAAAGATGATTGACAATAGAGTGGAGGAGCATTTGACTCTTCTAGGAATTCTGCCCAAAAGCTATATACTGGGATTGGTTCCGTTGTTTCTCTACTTGGTCTACAAGGTAAGCCTGTGTGCCTATGTGATTTCATCGGCAGGATTCCAAGTCAGATGATATAACTCTTTTCTCCACTAGGTTGCCTTCGCGACAGATATACCACACATCAAGGGCATTCCCGAGATCCCAGGTGCAGTTCCAATTTTTGGACACCTACTCAAACTTGGTGAAGATCATGCAACCGTCTGTGAAGGTTGGTGGCGGAAGTACGGGGATTCTGTTTTTCAAATCAGGCTTGGCAACACCCGGGCCGTCGTCGTCAACTCATTTGAAGACTGTAAAAAGATGCTGCTCGGTCATCAAAATGCTGTGATTGACCGTCCGAAGCTGTATACTTTTCATGGAGTGATCAGCAGTACACAGGGATTTACAATCGGATCTTCACCCTGGGATGATTCTTGCAAGAAGAAGCGCAAAGCATCTGGCACGGCCCTAGGAAGGCCTGCTCTCCGCAATTATCATCCGATGTTTGATCTTGAGAGTTACTCTATCGTTCGTGATATTTACAAAGACAGCAAAAATGGCGCTATCGAAATCAACGTCAGGCCCTACATTCAACGTTATGCCTTGAACACGACCCTGACGCTCTGCTATGGTATACGCATGGACGCTGTTTATGATGATCTCCTGCGCGAAATCCTTCACGTCGGCTCAGCAATCTCGCTTCTGCGAAGTGCCTCCGAGAATTTACAGGATTATATTCCCGCTCTCAGGTATCTCCCCAATAATGAGAAGAATGCGCGATCGAAGGAACTGCGTGAGCGGCGAGACACATACCTCAATTTGCTGTTAGACAAAGTCCGAGCAATGATCAAGAAGGGCACCGATAAGCCTTGCATTTCAGCCGCTATTCTGAAAGACCAGGAGACAAAGCTTAATGGAGTTGAAGTTTCTTCCATCTGCCTTTCTCTAGTGTCCGGTGGATTTGAGACCATTCCTGGAACGTTGACCTCTTGCATCGGGTCACTTTCCACCCCTGAAGGACAGGTCTGGCAGGATCGAGCCTACGCAGATATCAAGCGACACTACCCAGACATACAGGAAGCCTGGACTAGTGCTATTAGTGAAGAAAAGGTTCCTTACGTGAATGCTATTATCAAAGAGGCCGGTCGTTATTACACCGTTAGCTCCATGAGCCTTCCCCGAAAGACTGTGACCGAAGTCAATTGGAATGGAGCGATTATTCCCCCGAAGACCATGATTCTGATCAACGCTCAAGCTGGAAATCATGGTAAGCTCCAATTTCTCCACATGATTTCCGCACGATTTTAATGTACTTCCGATTACTAACTATTTCGCAGATGTGGACCATTACGGAGAAAATGGTGGTAAATTTGACCCTGAACGATGGCTCAAATCTTTGAATCCTCCAGAGGAAAGTGAGATTACCGGGTTGCCTCATTTGAGCTTCGGTGCTGGATCGCGAGCCTGTTCTGGTCAATATATTGCATCTAGATTGCTCTACACTGCCCTGATTCGCCTTCTTTCGACGTACAAAATTGTCGCAAGTGAGAACAACCCTCCTAATACAGACTATGTCGAATACAATCAGTTCAAAACCGCCTTGGTGGCAATCCCCAGGGATTTCAAGGTCCGTCTGATTCCTAGAGATGACGCTACGGCTAGTGAGTGCTTGGCACAGGCCGAGGGTCGGACCAAGGAGCACTACAAGGAGTAGTTAAGGAGGGAGAGAGAGGGGAAGCTCTTGGAGTATTAGTTAGTCTCAATTATTCTAGCTAAATCTATCTTTATCTAGTACAATTTCGGTTCAATTAAGAGCGCCTTTTCTTTCAAAAGCAAGCTTTGAAATCCATGGATGCATCTACAAATCTTCGGGTTATGGATACCTCCAGGGCTGTGTATAGGATAGTTAGCACCATTGGAAGAAAGGCATAGAAATATGATATAGTCATGATGCTAAGTTGGGAGAAATGCCAAGAGATGGAAATCTACAGTAATTTCGACAATATTGATTCTCATACTCGGGCGCCGTGTTCTCAATAGTATCAGTTTGTTGCGATGATTTAGTCTACCATTGACTGCTTGGAACAGTCAGTCATCACTCTCATCAGCCGTTCGGGGCGCCCGACGCACCCCAGTTGATTTTCCCCGCTCGGGATTTAGTGACGAAATATACATATTATGGGTTTCTGCTGTTAGAAAAGCCACTGTATACTTCAAATTAAGTCATCAAAGATGTCTCTGAGTGCTTTGAATTTGTTCAATGTTAAGGGGCGGGTTGCGATGGTGACAGGTGGAAGTAGTGGCATTGGCTTTATGATTTCCAGGGTATGTTGTTTACCTATAGACTTTGAATGTCGAACGCAAAACTAACATTACACTTATGTAGGGGCTAGTATCAAATGGAGCCAGGGTATATCTCGTAGCACTCCCGAGCGATCCCATAACCGACGTTGTCAATGAGTTGAATGAGTTGGGCCGGGAATCCGGTGGAAGCGCAGAAGGGTACAGACGTGACAAAAATGACAGCAAAACAAGACTACTTGCTAACATATTGCTCTTAGTTATGCGTGTGATGTATCATCGAAAGATGCGATATCACAACTTGCTCAAAAGATATCTGAAAAGGAAACGGCCTTGGACATCCTCATCTCGAATGCCGGTATCAGACGAGACCCCCCCTTTAGCATGCAACGTGCTCACAGCATCCGTACAAGAACTTCAACAGTCAATGTGGTCAATTGAAAGCAAGGACTGGGAAGATACATTCCGAGTTAATACTACTGCCCATTATTTTCTCAGCGTAGCCTTTCTTCCTCTCCTCGCGGCTGCGGCGAATCAACTGACCAGCACTGGAACAACGGGGCGAGATGAGGGGCGAGGAGTCATTGTGGTAACCAGCTCGTGTGCAAGCATGCACAATTCCACTAATGTGGATCTCACAAGCTATGCCACAAGCAAGGCTGCTACTGATCATCTTGTCAAGTTGTTGGCGGCAAAGTACAATCGATTCTATGTGCGTGTGGTTGGAATTAATCCCGGTTGTAAGTTATGCAGACTTGAATTGTTGTCCACTTTACGTTCCAGAACACTCCCCAGCAAGGAAAGCCAACTGAAAATTCTGTCCAGTCGTTCCCAGCAATATGAATCCTGTCGGCGCCGAAGGAAATATTTTCAGCTCCTTGTTTGACAAAGTCCCGGCAAAACGGGCGGGAAATTCCGATGATATAGCTGGAACAGTTTTATATTTAGTTAGCAAATCAGGGGTAAGTTATTTTCCTGCCGGTTCGGTTCTGAGCTGAGCATCGCTGATTGGAGTTCTCTGGAAATAGGCTTATGTTGATGGAATCTCTCTTTGCGTTGACGGCGGTCGCATCCTGCTGGCAAATGGACAGGAATGATGATATAGAGCTGCGACCATGCTAGCGATAAGTGCTCCAGGGCTTCGATCAATTGTTGTACTTCGTGAATGATCGGCCTCCCCGCATGACCAAAAATCGGCGAGCCCGATGCGGGGAGAAACAGAGAATTCCGATGGTCGTCTAAGAGAGCAGATAAGGATTGTTAAAGATTCAAATTTCATGAACACTGTGTCCTTTTCCTTCCGTAACCGATGCACCGATATTGATAAGCGAAAACTTCAAACACTTCTCGTCATGTCGGTAGCATTCTTGGCAGATCCAACTCAGTAGGTATTCCGAGGCTGATTGCTTCCTGCAGTGCCTGATACTAACATCTTTAGATCTCGAATATCGACAGAAGACTTACACAATATAGCTGCTAGGCTTGGGTTCAAAATTCCCGAAGGGCCGGAGACGGAGGCCTATTTGCATCTGCTTCAGTCAGCAGAAGCTGTTATGAGACGAATTCAAAACGACGATGATTACATACACCCCGCCCTGTTTCCAGTTGAAACCACCACAGCTCGAAAATACTGGGAGCCAGAAAGCAAAGATAATCCTCTAAATGCCTGGAAGCACCGTTGTGAACTTATTGCGAGGACCCCCAGCAGCAAAATTCTTCAAAACCGGACAATTGCCATCAAAGACAATATATCAGTTGGAGGATTACCCACGACCGTTGGAACATTCAAGGAGCTTTTATGCGAAGAAGATGGCAGTCTTCCGCTCTCCACAATAGATGCCGCGGTGGTGTCGCGTATCCTGGAAGCTGGTGCGACGATCAAAGGCTCTTCAAACTGTGAGAACTATTGCGCATCTCCCCTTTCCTTTAGTGCGGCCAATGGGCCTGTTCACAATGCCTGGAAGTATGGATATACTTCGGGAGGAAGTAGCAGTGGCTCCGCAAGCCTGGTTGCTGCTAATATTGTCCAACGTGAACAGGGGGGATCTTTTGGGGAAATAGTTGATCTGGCTATCGGGGGTGACCAAGCAGGATCGGTCAGGATTCCAGCTTCCTACAGTGGAATATACGGTCTTAAGCCAACGTATGGACTTGTACCGTACACCGGCGCAGTATCTTTGGCGCCTATGATTGATCATCTGGGTCCTCTTGCAAATAACCTGGAAGACATCGCATTGTTGCTTCAAGTCATGGCAGGCTATGATGGGATTGACCCGCGCATGACTCCAGAATCACCACTGAGATCCCAGGTGCAGGATTATCCGCGACTTTTGTCACAATTTCGAGATCGCAAACTTGAGCAAGGAGAGGATTTCGGCTCTGGGCTGACCATCGGCCTTCTCGCAGAATCATTTGAAATACAGGGGTTGTCTGAAGAAGTTCGCGATACTGTTCGACAATCAGCCCGAGAATTCTTCACGGCTGCTGGGGCGAAAGTTGTGGACATCTCTATACCGCATCACCGTGACGGCAGTTTGATCTGGACTGCTGCCACTCGAATGTCCATGTCGGAATGGGTCTTCCAGGGCAAGACATCCGGATTACTTTCTTTCTTGCCTTCTCACATCCACCCTCGATGGCCCCCCGACCAGAGAATGTACGAGCTGACCACAGCGACAAATCCAGCTGCTGTCAACGTGATGCTCAGTGGACCGTTTCTCCAAGAGCATTTTGGTCCTCAGGTGGAAGCCAAGGCCCACCGTAAGGTGTTTGAGCTTCGGGCGGCATATGACCAGGCGTTCATGCAGGTAGATATCCTTGTCACACCTTGTGCACCCACGGTTGCGATGCCACACCCCACGATGCAGGTTAATGAAGATGGCTCCTATTCGAGCGTCATGGATAAACTGTCCGCGGCGGTTGGCGTGACGACGAACACGGCGTCGTTTAATGTTACTGGTCACCCTGCGCTGAGCGTGCCATGCGGGTTCGGTCAAGACTCGGACGCGTCCGAGGTTAAACTGCCGATCGGCATGCAACTCGTGGGGCGTCGATGGGAAGACGCAACAGTGGTGAAAGCGGCGGCAGTGTTTGAAGAAGGCAGAAAGCGAATTTGCATAGATGGGGGTTGATCTCTTGTTTTGGGTTCATAAAGTTCATATATCTGTTACTACTAGTTAATAGCAATATGAGAGTTACTGAATTGAAATATTCGATGGTGTCAAGGATTAAAACAAAACAAGAAAGAGCAAACAAAAAGCAAACAAAAGCCGGAAGAAACAGAAAGCCCCAAGTATCCATGATGATATCTCCCCCTTCTTCCAAGATTCTCTCCCCCCTTCACCTTCTCACAAACCAAGGCTGATCCTTGTTACACACGTACCACGTGGGCATGAAAGATTCCAAGGCATCGAGAACTCTCAATAAGCCCTCTCCTGCAATTTGGCCTTGCACAAGTCGAGGCCTCGGCACAGCGTGCATCATCCACCATCCTAGCATCAAGCAGCCAGACCGTGCAGAATGTGTGAATGTGCACTGCGACGAGCCTGCGCTGCAACCCCAAGTTGACAGCCAACGCCTCTCACCGGACCCCTTGCGTCTAGTGTCGTTGAGAAGTCAACCACGCTACAATGAGGGCCAGGACATGGGGGACGTGATGCTATCCAAAAATCTTCCCACACACCCCTCAGCCCTAGGAGAGGGGAATTTCCCGTCGTTGTGTTACACAAAGAGGATTGACCTTGTTTAAAGAATGCTAATCGAGAATACCTTTATGCTAATCCTGGCCTCTCGTTGATCCATCATCGCACATCCCTGCCACTGCAGGACATTTTAGTTTCCCTCGATCGTGGTAGGACGAGCATACATACCACTTCAAGTCACAGGGCCCATCATCCATTGGTCCGAGTCAAGAAAGAAGGTTGACCAAGAGCCCGCATCTCAGCTCCACACGCTCAGGGGGGATAATCCACGTCACGATCCCTGTCCCACGATCAGCACGTCCCCACTCGATAGTTTTGCTTCCTGCGGGTCCGCGCATATTGTACTCCGTAAATAGGTTTGCTCTCCGCTCTTTGCTCTCTGTCAATATTAGGCTTCTATATTGCGCAGATCTGGATCGAATAAAAGGAGGTTGGTATGATTTTCATTTCTCCAGAATTCCCGTTATCTGACCCTGTTCCAGCTGTTCCAGGAGACGCAAGGCACAACTCCTGTACGGAGTACCAAAAGAAGACCGTGTGGCGCACGAACTAACTATGGGATCGACAAACTATCGCGTTCCGAAGATTTGGTGCAATGCGACCCACCTATCAACGCGAGTCCCAAAGTATGTCAATCGCATTTCGAAGTGACAGGTCCAAATGATTGTGGATACATACTCTACCCACACGCCAGACCTGTCGAGGTGCGGCCCGCCATGCTTTTTCTAGGCGGAGAAATTTGTTAAAAGTCATAAAAAATAAAAACTGTGGGTCAATGCCTTGTCACCAAACCTTTTTTTGGTTTAATTTAATACGTAGCTACCTCCCCCATCACTAGGCTGGGCCAGGAACAGGCACTGATCCCGCCCACCTCCTCCGCGATGTCAAGCATTACCGTACGTCCTAATATCCAATACACCAGAATCTTGTGCCCCGTTGAGAATTCCCATACTCACGAAAAGTGCTAGGACCCCAACAATGATCCCAATGTCGGTTCTGCCCAAGGAAATGCCTCATCTACATCGGGAGATGCTATAAGCAGCCTCACTGGCGAAGGTGGATCGTCAGCCACGGCGCTGATGATGACCTTGCTGCCAGCGTTGATCTATGCTCTTTTCTTTGTTGCTATTTTCCTCATCTTCCGACGTACACAGCGTCGATGGTATGCTCCAAGATCACATCTTCCGGATATCCACGAGCATCGTCGAAGTCCAGAACTACCCTCCGGCTGGGTGAACTGGCTCGGTACGTTTTTAAAGATTGAAGACAACCATGTTTTGCACCACTCATCGCTGGATGGCTATCTATTTCTACGATTCTTGCGTGTGATGTGTGCAACATGCTTCACTGGCTGCCTGATTACCTGGCCAATTCTATTCCCCATCCACGCAACGGGTGGGAATGGAAACGGTCAGCTCGACATGCTCAGCTTCAGTAACGTCGCGAGCCCCACCAAATATTATGCCAATGTATTTGTTGCTATGGTTTATTTCAGTGAGTTTTCATCTGCAAACAGCCCTCCATGGCATTTTGCTCATGTATCTTAGCATTTGTATTTTATGTCGTGACCCGTGAGAGTCTCTATTATGCGAACTTACGTCAAGCCTATCTCAACTCTCCGGAATATGCCTCTCGAATTTCATCGCGTACAGTTCTCTTTATGTCGACTCCAGGCGATTATCAGAACGAGAAGAAGCTGCGACAAATTTTCGGCGATTCTATCCGCCGACTCTGGGTCACATCTGACTGCGACAATTTGGAGAAGATGGTGAATGAGCGTGATAAGCTTGCATTCAAATTAGAAACCGCCGAAACCAGACTCATCCGAGCGGCAAATAAGGCACGAGTAAAGGCAATCAAAGCGGGTGAATTTTCATCAGATACCTGTCTCGATTGCGAGTCGAGTAATCCTGCCGGATCCCACAAAATCAAACGACCAACCCATCGACTGAAGCTTTTCGGCAAGAAAGTGGACTCGATCCATTGGTATCGGTCGGAGCTGGTCAAAGTCACCGAAGCGGTGTCCATTCTTCAGAAGAAACACCAGGATGGTGACGCGAAGCATCTTTCGGCAATCTTCATTGAGTTTAACTCTCAATCCGATGCTCAGGTCGCTCTTCAGACCTTGTCTCACCATCAACCTTTCCATATGACGCCTCGCTTTATTGGAGTCTCGCCGCATGAAGTTGTGTGGTCTGCTATCAATCTCAGCTGGTGGCAACGAATTATCCGTAAATTCGCAGTACAAGGGGGCCTCGCTGCCCTAGTGATCTTCTGGTCATTTCCTGCTGCCATTGTTGGAACCATTTCCAATATCTCATATCTCGCCAGTATCATTCCTTTCCTCGGATTTATCAAGGACTTGCCTGAGGTCATCAAAGGAGCGATTGAAGGGCTGTTACCGTCAGCTGCACTAGTGGCCTTAATGTCATTGGTGCCAATCATCTGTCGGAGTAAGTTTTCTTGGAGCGATGCAAGAAGAGGTATAAGATGCGTGTTGCTAACCTTTGCTCCAAAGTCTGTGCTAGACGAGCCGGAGTGCCATCCACGGCCAGGGTCGAGCTGTTTACACAGAGTGCGCATTTCGTTTTCCAGGTAGTGCAGGTATTCCTGGTCACAACATTAACCTCAGCTGCGTCCGCAGCGACTTCGCAAATAATCAAAAATCCTCTTTCGGCCAAAGATCTTCTGGCTGAGAACTTGCCCAAGGCCACCAACTTCTACATCTCATACTTTTTGCTTCAAGGCTTGAGTACAAGTTCCATGGCACTGGTACAAATTGCAAGTGCTCTAGTGTTTAAATTTGTTACCACATTCTTTGCCTTTTCTCCGCGTCGCCTATTCAGGCGGTGGGCTGCGCTTGGTAGCCTGAGCTGGGGTAATGTGTTTCCGGTCTTCACCAACATGGGCGTGATCGGTATGCAGATTCTATCAAACTCGGAATGATACTCAGTCTAACATCTCTTCAGCTTTGACCTACTCTTGCATTGCACCGTTGATTTTGGGTTTTGCCTTTATCGGCCTATATCTCGTCTACCAAGCCTATCGCTACAACTTTTTGTTTGTCTACGAAATCGACGTCGACACAAAAGGCCTGGTCTACCCGCGCGCTCTGCAGCATCTCTTAACGGGTATTTACCTCGCCGAAATCTGCATGATCGGTCTTTTTGCTATCAAAGGGGCGATTGGCCCAGTGGTTATCATGGTACTCTTTACCATCGGTACTGTCCTAGCCCACATGTCCCTCAACGAAGCCCTTGCCCCACTGAACACATTTCTGCCACGGTCTCTGGATGCAGAAGAAGAGCTCCTCCAACAGAAAGAGGATGCTATTGCCGAGATCAATGAGCAGCGTCGCCCACGGCTCTTGGCTTTCTGGAATTGGTTCCACCCGAATGTGTATAAAGATTACGCCGCACTACGTCGCAAGGTGCGTCGCAATGTTGCAGAGGTTGAATACACCGAAGAAGAGGTCCGTATCGCTTATTTTGAGCCATGTATCGCCACTCCTGCGCCTAAGATCTGGATTCCACGGGATAGATGGGGGTTTAGTAGACACGAAATGGTTGAAACAGACCCTGCCATCAACATCACGGATGAAGGAGCACATCTCAACGAGAAAAACAAAATCGTGTGGGATAAATATGATCCTCATCTTCCTCTCCGGGAATTAAAGACTCCGTACTGAGGTACTGATTACGATGGAGTTATTATTATATGTTATAAGAATGATTATGGGATAATGATGAATGATTCAAGCTTGTATAAAGCTGTCATGCTGAGAATTTTTGGTTTACCGGAGGAGATGTATCAATTGTTTCAGCTTTGGTGTTTGGGTGTGCCCAGGTGGCGGTTTCCAGTTTTTGTTTCCTCGGTATATAGAACACTTAATCAAATTCCAATCCAACATGAAGATGCTACGAAAGACACCATTTACTTACGTTTTTTAATCCCGTGTACCACTATATCGCACAGAAGATGCCAAAGCCCGAGATTTGCAGAAAGGATCGCGCGTATTTAGGATTAAGATTATTAACTAAGCTACACAGACCAACTAGCTGACAATCCCGGAAGCTCAAGCCCGACACTTCCAGCGGCATCAAACCGTCAAAGTGAAGTTAACAGCATTTACCGCACCGTTGTCTCTGGGGAAGAACTCAAAAGTAAAAACCGTCGTCACACCAGCAGATATAACCGAGCTGATAGCCGAAGAGGTGAGTATAACATTAGAAGAATCCCAGTTATACTGGCTGCTATATGTCTGCCATTCAATTCAAATCAGTCAATAAATATCCGAGTCCCTCGGGGTTTAGGAGAGCATGACATACCGCCCGTGCTTGCTGGAGAGGTCCCAGGTATACAGTCCAATCATCGACCAGATATGTACCACTCGTAGTTAATGCTTTGACTGCTGCGACTCTTTGAAGCCCACCCCAAGTGATGGGAATAGAAAGATCGGAGCCAGATACTGATGAAGCTACCGCAGTCTTAGAGGACAGAGTCGGCGTCTTCCATTGAACAAGCTGTATAACCGGGGAAGAGTCACCTCCGGAAAACTTCAAGGTCAGATTGGCGATGACACCTGGCGAAGTTGTCGATGAAAGATGCTTCGAGAGATAAGAAGCTGTGAAGATGATATTAGAGCCTGAGACCGAGTAGTCTGTACCTGACGTCAAGGCTGAGCCAGCTGAATCCGTAATCGAAGACAGGGTGTTTCCATTGAAAATAAATGGTAGCGACTGCTGTGTCACTTCAGTGCCGTATTCGTGGAAGATGTAAGCCGAAGAGGATTGAGAGGTCGCAGAAGCGTCTTCGGTGCTGTCAGGCAGACTATTCGAAGTGGCCGCAGTCGACTTTGTGATCATTGAGATTGAATTAAGGTCTCTCCAGGTCGCAGTGTTGCGATTTAGATGGTCGAGACCATTATCCCAGAGAATGCAAGCAAAATTCAAATCTAATGCCGATCGAACAAGCTCATCCACATACTTCCACCGACCTGCAGGCTCAGTGTTAGTGGGGGATGCATCGTACTCTCCCAGGATAATTGGAACGTCGCTGAAGTTGTTTCGGAGAAGCTGGAAGTCAGATAAAAGGGTGGCTTTGTCGGTATCCGAACCCCAGATGGTTTTGCCCCTAGAAAGTGTCAGCAGAAGTTTCAACGTATGGAGCATCCCTAAGAGCAATATACCAGGCGCTGAAGATAAAGTCGTCTACCGTTGATTAGTCCACGCATCTCAAGTTTAAACATCTGGAAATATCAACTTACAAGGACTGTAGTAATGGAACTGGATCGCGTAAGGATTTGAAAAGCCAGATGGCGCCACAAACCACTCTGAAGTCTTGATACTATCCTCGCCACCACCGACCAGGTTGACCACGCGCTGGGAATTGAAGCCCCCTGCATCATTTATTGCCTGCAGGAATATCTTATTCAGTTTGTTAATCTCGGCGCCATCAGTGGAATCGTCACAAGGTGGCTCATTGATTGATTCGAATGCAACGAGACTCGACTTGCAGGCTAACTTTGTGCCAATCTGATTCCAAAGACGGTAGAATTTCTCTTCAATCATGGAGATATTTGCACCAGATGCAGTGACATCTGCCCAGATCCAAGAGTCTAATCCCATTTTAGAGAACTGTACAAACCCGTTCTAAATTCACGTATTGGGAGTGACTTACCATGGTGTACATTAACAATGGTGTATAAACCCAATGAAGTAGCCATATCAACCACGTCAGAAACACGCTGTAGCCAGGCCGGATCAACGGTCCAGTCCGGTGAACTCCCAGTGAAGTGATAAGCATATGTAACTACCACTGATTAGTACAATCTCTAAATCTTAGCAGGTTCTTTCATACCTGGAATTCGAACCCCATTGAATCCTGCATCTTTCACTGTCTCAAAAGTAGATGCAACAACCGCCGCATTGTTCCAGGAGCCCTCATCCGGAACAGCATCGAGGGTATTGCCCAGATTCCAGCCTGGGTGAAGTTTGGCGACAAAATTGGAAGCGGAAATTGCGCTAAATGTACCAGTGCAAGTTGGTCCTGTGGAAGTGGATGTCAGACTTGTACTCTGGGTCGTTGACTTCGTTGTCGTTGACGTTGTCGTGGTCAGAGTAGTGGATTTTGTAGTGGTAGTGGTAGTACTGGACGATGTGGCTTTGCTGGTTGTAGTGCTTGTTGCACTACCAGGAACGCACTGGTAATAATCTTGGAGGTGTTCAGATTCTGTAGGCACTGATTTGAAGCTGTCAACTTACAAGGGTTCTGTGAAGTACAAGCATAACCATTTGTACAACTTGTACTTCCAGAGTAACTGCTGCCTCCGCCTAAGAAATGTCAGCATATTATGATACTTGAATTATGAAATTTCAAATCCCATTTGGAGACTGACATTGCCCATAAGCAGGCACCTGTGCTTGGGCATATTGGAAAATAGCCGCAAGGGCGACTGATGTGAGGACCTGCATTATAGCGGGGGAAAACAATCTACTACTGTCGATTCACAATATTTTGGTCTACATGAAGTGTATAGAGTCGGCCAGCTAGACTTTATATATTATACAGTAGGGCAATTAATTGGAAAGGATCTAACTTGAACGACCCCAGAAGAACACGGAAGTGGACCTGCAGAATTAGTGCTTCCAGGGCAGTGAGAATATTCCTGGTCAACCAGAAACCCGCAGCGTGTCACACAATGATAATGTCTATTCATTAAATGAGAGCTAAAATCACTAGGACAGCTTTCTGGAAGCTAAAGGCTTGGCCTGCCTAAGGTGACGGACTTGCTTCAATGCTCCAATAGGACAAGACCCCTGGACATCCTTCATCTCCGCAAATCCCCGCAGATTACTCTGAAGAAAGTCTAAGTTAGATTGGAAGTCTACTGAATGGAGCATCATCTTGTGATCTTCAATTCTACCCCTTGCCCGTTACAGGGTTGCTACCCCGCTTCCTTTGCAGCTACGGAGTTCGTCCGTGTTGGTTTCGATGTGATGCCGTGGAGGATTTAGAACGGATGGCGGATGGTCCAGTGCATGGTGAGGAAGAACTTCAGTGGCGACGTGTAGGAACAAATAGCTTTACTGGTATGCAATCCTGTTTCGGTCAGAGTTGCTCCAGAGCCCACTCGTGAAGCAAACGTCTGTATGTGAACAAAGATGGATGTATACTACAATGGTACTCTACTCCGGCAATGGGAAATGGCTGCAAATGCAGAGCATAACATGACTATAGCTTGGCGGGTCCAAAAGGAAAGTGATCAAAATGTGATCTAAGTATTTACATTGATTCATTACATTCATTTCATCATATAGACTTAGCAAGCATCGTAATATCATGGTGGCAGCGAATCGCTGCGAGGGCCACGTCTTCACATCACGACGCAGTCTTTGTTACGATTCCGGTCCGCGCTGTATCGGTCTGTAGTGGGCCGGTTTGAATATCGATTCGGAGGGTACCTTGGAGAATATGAACCGTTTGAATCCACAGGGAAGTCGCTGTATCGATTTCGTCGTTCGGGAGGTGAATACCGTGGGCCGCTCGCAGCTTGCTCGTAGGGGGGAGGGGGCGCGTGTGGATCATCGGGATCGGCCTCAGCGGGTGGCTGTGACTGTTGTTGTCGGAGCCCAGTCGTAATGCTTGAAACCCTGCTGGGACCGTTGATGCGAGGAGAGGATATGCGCGGTGAAGAGCTGCTTCGTGTATGGGAAGAGCTTGGCATGCGAGGAGGGACAGATTCGCGACGGGCGGGGCCTGATGCACGGGGGCCATTGCCGCTCCCTTGTTGACTGCCCTGCCTTTCACGCTGTTCCTCCTCTTGGAATTGTAGTGAGAGTGCATATGCATAATCTGCGTCGCTTTGCTCCTGGTTCGAGAGTGGGGACTGGGATCCATCGTTCGCCGCAGGTGGATTATTCGGTGAAAGGCTCGATGCACGAGGACCGACGGGACCGGAGGGACCACCAGAGCCCGATGGGCCGTGGCCAACTGCTCGGAAGTCACCAGCCAAAAACTCTGCATTGAAGCCAGTCACGTCGACGAGAGATTCCCAGACAACCTCTGCATGATTAGCATAGCCAGCATCGGTGACCAAAGTGAAGAGCTGCTGTGATTCGGGATGTTTATATAGGGTAGAGAAATGATCGTTGCGGAATAGAATCGAGATAGAGCCGGGTGCGAGTCGTGTAGATAGTTGTGTCAGTCCAAATGGGCTCAGCTGTGTTGCATTTTCGATATCAACAAAATGCTGAATGGCTTGGATGTCCGCCATCTTTCCCTCTTCCTCCGGTAAGAGAGACTGGCCCTGCATGACACGATCCTCAAGATCCTGCTTATTAAAATGCAACAACTGAATATCTTCGTGATATTGACCAATTCGGGTCATAGCATCATGGGCCGGGTCAGACCAGGATGCAATCCAACCGTGAATGAGAGGAATGCCAAATGTACTGTAGAATCGAATATCTGGGGTTGGAAGAAATGTGCCGAGGGAATCCTCGGTTTCCTGTTTTAGAGTTAGCCTGATGCGGGCCGTTGCTGATGATTGAAGAGGGATAAGTACCAATGTCAGACGAGGATTCACGTTCATTCCGGTATGCAACATCGTGAGGAATTGTGTGAGCGCTTCAATGTCTGGGAACTCCTGGTGTGGCCCTAGGCAAGTAGTCAACTCGTCAAAGAGAGCCTCGATCAACAAGCCGAGCGAAATTTGCTCGCGAGTTCGCAGAGCTTTGATGATCGGTGGTTGTGTATTTGGCTCAGCTCGTAGCACAAGCGCATTGATGAGAGCAAGTAGCGGACAGGGACCATTTTGATTTTGAACCAAGATAGGAGACTGGAATAAATCTCCATTTCGGTCAGTCCGGTTGATCTGCCGGATGGAATAGGTCTCTGCCCTCTGCTCTTGTTGTCTAGCCGCTTCTGCGGGTGAGAGCTTTCGAGCCGTCAATGGCTGCTCTAGAGCGCTGCTTTGAGACTGCATGGCCGATGCAATTGGCAATGGTGATTGTAAATTGGAAGCTGCTTTGTTGACACTCTCCGAAGAATATACTGACGAGGTTGCTCGATGAGGCCCAGTATTCGCCGCGAGACCGCTGGGGGGATCGAAATCAATCAATTCGTGCGAAGTCGCCGAAGTTGCACTCGAGAAAGCAGAGGGTGGTCTGATACCCGCGTCCGACGCCAGCCTGTCATTGCTGTACGGTGGCTCAAGACCGAATGCATTTTGTTGACTGTCGGAAGATTGGATAACCACGGCTGGTGGAGGGGTGTATGGATTTGCTTGCCCGCCCTGCAGATATATCTCCTGGGGGGCTGATATTTTGATCGAATGTTGGGATCCCCACGGTGATGGGTCGGAGGAATTGGGGTTTGTAGTGGATGATTGTAACTGGGATGGCGGGGTCTCATGCTCTGCCCATGGGGATGGCTCATAGGGCTGAGGATTGACAAGAGGACGTTGATAGTCGGACTGAGTCAAATCGTGTTCCGCCCATGGGGATTCGTGCTCGGGAGAATCAAGTAGGGAGAGCCGTGCTGTCATGGGGATGTATCCCTCCGCTAGAAAGGGGTCAGCATCAACATTGATCATCCCAGGAGGAAGGTAGGGGAAGGTGTGGGGGTTGTGTAATTTCGTACTCTGACTTAATGGATCACTGTTGGTAGTCGCATGTGAATGACGATCCTCCCATTCGTTTGGGTCTCCCGAGCTTGTGCGCGAATCCACGGGCTTTGGCTTCAGAAATGGGTTATTTGATTGAAGCTGTACCGGGACCTCTCCAGTTGTGAAGCTGCGATCTCTCGAGGTGGGCTGCCAGCTAAAATCACCAGTTGATGATCCTGGTGGACCCGGAGTGAGAGCCGACGGGAGCCCGTGTGCTTTCACCTCGGACCCCGCTGGATACGACCCATCACGGGTGGCTGGTCGGTCCCCCAATCCGTCATTCCAGGAGCCGGGTGGGTGATTTGTCGGTGAGCCCACGGGGGATCTCTGGGCCTGTTCGAGAGGCATCAGATCAAAGGCTGGGGAGGTATTGAGATCGGGGGGAGTACACAGAGTCCTGGGAAGGAACTCGGTGTGGACGGGGCCGACGTTGCGATGACGGAGAATGGGTGGAGGAGGTCGGGGAATGGGACTCTGGACGAGCATGCCACTTGTTAAGATTCTCGAGACGCGGAGGAGGAGGTTTGCGGAGCACCATGAAGAACGGAGGACGGAGGATATCGAAGTATGTGGAGGTAGTACTGTATGTATATGGAGGTTGTATATACCGAGAGCTGTTGTGGAGCGGGCGGAGAGCGGAGAGAGCTGAGAGCTGGAAGCTGGAAACAATAGGTAAGGGTAATGGTAATGGTAATGGTAATGTATATATTAAAAGGGTCCGGTCATGGGCGTTAGAGACACCACCAGCCCCCAAAAATGAAGTCAAAAGCCACAGGGCACAAAGTGTAGATTAGCCATTGCGATTGGGGGAGGTGGGAAGGGAAGAAGAGGAGGAGGCAAGAGAAAACGCCTTGCGGTGGAAGTGCTGGGAGTACTTGGGGGACTTGGGCAAGTACGAATACGCCCAGAGTGCCCCAGAGTGCCCCAGTCTAGGCAGGCACGAATTGATGGCAGGCACCCGCTTTCTGGTGAGTATTTGTATTACCACGACATATAGTACCAGTGGCAAGACTGACCATAGAGAAGGGACGAATGGTATTGTATCAATGTTACTCGGGTCAATAATAACCCGACAATACCCATTTTGCCCCGCTGATTGGCTCATGCGTACTTGGTCTTTAACGAACCCCGGAATATTTTGCAGAAGCAATTATCAGCACTACTCTTGCGCCGGTAGATATTGCATCCAAGTCGACAAACCTGATCTTGCCTGGCTGGGTCGTCATGCATTCATTCATACCCCCCAATCAATTTGTGGCTATCAAATTGCCCTCCGATCAGACTCGCATCGTCAAACTTGTCCCTGACTCGTGAGTCCCCGTCTCCCGTCCCATATCATGATATCGAATTTCTTCCTGTCGCAAAAGCCTTCCCCTCCACTAACCAACACACTCTCCCTCGCACAGTCTAGTTCAATTGGGAAAATACGGTAGCTTCCCTGCCAACCAGATTATCGGACGACCCTTCTACTTCACCTTTGAAATCCAAGACACCGCCGAAAAGGATGGCTATAAACTGCGGGTCGTCTCAGCCACCGAGCTGCACGCGGAAACCTTGATTGAAGAGGCCGAGGCAGACGGCGAGGGGGAGGATCAACCAGAGGGATCAGAGATCCCCATGCGCACCAACCGCCAGATCGTCGATGATGCTTCCACCCAGACACTGACCCTGCAGGAAATTGAAGAGCTCAAGAAAGAGGCTGGTGGGGCTGGAAAGGAAATTATCGCGAAGATTCTGGAGTCGCATACCGCTCTGGATCAGAAGACTGCTTTCTCTTTGGCCAAATATACGCTTCGGAAGCGTCAGAAGTATCTTAAACGATTCACCGTCGTACCATTGGACGTCAGCACACTAGCCAACTTTATGCTGGCCGAGAAAGATGCGACGAGGACGATGGAATTGCGGGACGAGCACATCGGCCTTTTGGGCTGCTTCGGTAATGTGCATTATGGTGGGGATTCTCACAATGAAGAGTCAACAACGGATGGTCTACCCACAACCAAGCCGAATGGCCGGTACTATGTGGTTGACGAAACCGGTGGTCTTGTCGTGGCTGCCATGGCCGAGCGCATGGGAATTCTTTACCCGCGCGATGAGGAAGAGGACGAGGACGATGGAGAGGAGGAGGAAGCCACGGATTCAAACGAGCAAAACCCCACTGGAGAAGACAGCAATGCAGAGGCCCAGGGTGCCACTTCGACCTCCAAGCGCAAACGGCCTCAGGCCATGTCGGCGTCTGGAAACACCATCACCGTTGTCCATGCCTCCTCACAACCTAATCTCTCACTATTGAAGTACTTCGGTTATGACATCAACACACCCGATGAGAACCACCCTCTTCACACCCACCTCAAGACTGTCACCTGGCTCCAAATGCTCGACCCAGCAGTGGACCCAATCCTATCCAACCGACCGGCGGAGATCCCACCAGCGGAATTAGCAGCTTTGAAGGGCAGCAAGCGCAGCGCGTATCACTTCAAGCGCAACCGATGGGAGAGAATTAAGAAGGTAGTGGAAGAGGCCCGCGCGGGAAGTTTTGACGGTCTCGTCGTTGCTACCCTGTTGGAGCCTGCCAGTGTATTAAAAAACCTGGTCCCACTGCTCTCCGGCTCAGCCTCCGTCGCTGTCTATTCCCCAACCGTCGAGTCCCTGGTCGTTCTGATGGACAAATACTCTACTACCCGGAGAACGGCATTCATCAACAATAAACGGGACCTCGAAGCCCAATCGACCTCTGGGCAGACCGATATTGACCTGTCCTCGTTATATGAAGAGTTCGAACTGGATCCCACCCTCCTTCTCCCCCCGACACTCCACAGATCACGCGTCCGTGCCTGGCAAGTGCTTCCAGGTCGAACACACCCTCTCATGACCGGCCGCGGTGGCGCCGAGGGCTATCTTTTCCACGGCGTGCGCGTGATTCCCACAACTGCGAACGTCCAGGCCGCAGGCACATTCCGGAAGAAGCGAAAGCTGGAGCAGCAGACATCAACCCCGACCCCGACTACCGATCAGGATGTCGAAATGGCATCTTAATCTGCATCAATACCTGGAGTTACCATTGGACAAACATAAAAGGTTGTACGAATATAACGATTCACCAAGCTTGGATGAATGTAGAGCGAGGCACGTCAATAATAGAGTAAATTATAGAATCGAAATCGAAATCTCGGACCAGGAAGTAATTGGTTGGCGCAGTATGTCGGTGGTGAAGATAGGACTGGTAGTAGATCGCCAGTATTAGAGATTCACACGCTATAGGTACTGCTTGGTATTCTACCCAGTTTTATAGTTCTATACTCACTGGCAGTACCCTGGATTGTTACTAGTAGGATCGAACAATTTGTATAGGTAGAAGACTAGTACTAGTACTAGTGGATTGCGGGCACGCTAGTACAGGGTTGCCAGAAGCGAAGCAGTTGGAAAAAAAGGTTCATTGATGCGCTGAATTTCATGAAAAGATATACACCCCCTCTATTGCATTTACAGGCTCTTTCCCATGAACTTTCGCTTTGTGAAGCTGAGCCAAAACTGTGTTGGTGTTAGTGATACTCCTGGTCTTGGCAGAGGGAGCATTAATTCCACGTACCTTCGAAGGTCCTTCTCCACCGGGGTATAATCTGGCGTGTAGTCGCACGGCGATTTCCTGTCGCACCTGCGAAATGTATCTGGAAAATCACAATCAGTTGGAGGGGAAGGTGGTCCAAGTATGGAAGGGTAAACAGACTGTCGGAGGCTCTCCGCATCCTGGCGGTCGCGTGGGGGCTCAAAGGCCTGGTTGAGAGGGAAGGAGACGTCGCCGGGGATGGAGAAGTTGTCGAGGGCGGCATTGATGAGAGCCTGGTGGGTTTAAACGAGTCAGTGATGTCCCCTTGCGAAAGGCCACGGGTAGCTTATTTACCTTCTCAGCATCACGGGCAGTCATTGTCGGCTTGACCTTCCCAAGACACTCGCTGACGAACAGAGTGCCATAAATGAGCATGCGATCAGCAGGGCCATTGATCTCGAAGTTGCGGAAGAGCACATTGGCGCGGAACAGGGACAAAATCTCGTCAACACAGTCGTAGGACTCGCTGTCGGGGGCGACGTCGATGTCGGCAGTGTTAGGGGGAAGGGTGGGGAGAGTGTATGCAGGACCGCGGGTGCGAGTGCGGAGGGGTAGGATAGGGAAGTTCCCTATAAAGGAATGCAATGGTCAATTTCGGGGTTCTTGTTTATTGGAGATGTGTCGCATTGAAGGCAGCAAGTTATTTGGCGGGGCAGCATACCAATCACGGGGACATCGCGGTCCTCCAGGAAGATGGAGTGGTAGGCCTGTGATCGTCAGCATCTATCTCCAAAGCAGTTTGTTAACCGGATTGTTATCCATACTGGCATGGTAGATATGTAGTGGTGGGGGAACGACTGGGGGGGGGAGGATTGGAGTTGGAGTTGCGGAGGGCGGAGGTGTTGAAGCAGGCGAGATGTCATCCGGTGGATCCCCCCATGATTGAATGATTTTCCGCCCCGAGAGCCCCCCTCAGCTCTTTACGCGCGGAACGCGTCAAGCTTGACTTTTCGCGATTTCAATATCTATATCAACCCTCCCTACACACACACACACACACACACACACACACACCATCATGTCTGACATTGAAGATCAAATGGATGTCGATGCTCCTAAGGAGGTCCAGTTCAGTTCTGACAATGCCAGTGGGAAGAAGCGTACAGCGGCAGACCTTCCTGTGGAAGCTCTAGATAATCTCCCCTGGTATGGAAGTGTTACTCTAATTTGGCGAAGGGAATCACACACTGACACCGTGGATAGGGTTGAGAAGTATCGTCCCAATTCACTAGATGATGTTTCCGGTCACCAAGATATCCTTTCTACCATCAATCGCTTTGTCGAAGCCCATGTATTTTCCCCTTCGCCGGGCAACATTGATTACCATTCAAATATTAATGATTCTGCAGCGACTACCCCATCTCCTTCTATATGGCCCTCCCGGAACCGGAAAGACCTCAACCATCCTAGCACTTGCACGACGGATATATGGCACAAAAAACATGCGTCAGATGGTCCTGGAACTGAATGCCAGTGATGATCGTGGTATCGACGTTGTTCGGGAACAAATTAAGACCTTTGCCAGTGAGACCATCTTGATTCTACTGTTGAGAATTAGGAGGGGGTACTGACGGAGAATGTTTCTAGGTACCAAACAGATTTTCTCCATGGCTCCACAAGCTGACGCCGGTTCTAAGCTCGCCGGCTTCAAATTGATCATCCTGGATGAAGCAGACGCCATGACCTCTACCGCACAGATGGCACTCCGTCGGATTATGGAACGCTACACAGCCAACACACGATTCTGCATTATCGCCAACTATACACACAAGCTCTCCCCGGCGCTGCTATCGCGTTGTACGCGCTTCCGATTCAGCCCTCTGAAAGAGGCAGACATCCGGGTGCTGGTGGACCAGGTAATCGAGAAAGAAAAGGTCCAAATCCAACCTGATGCGGTGGATAGCCTGGTCACTCTCAGTAAAGGTGATATGCGACGAGCTCTGAATGTACTCCAAGCATGTCACGCGAGCAGTAAGTTTTCCTCGGCTGTTGCCAACCCGGGGCACGTTGTCTGACCTGAGCTTAGGTATACCTCTACCCATGCGCGATGCGCCGAACGCCCCCCGACTCGAACCCGAGACAATTACCAACGCCACGATTTACGACTGCATTGCGGCTCCGCACCCGGCCGATATTCAAGAAATCATGCGCACTATCCTTACGACCAGCGACGTGACCTCGTGTCTCAATACCGTTAACACATTGAAGTCGAATAAGGGCCTGGCGCTGGCAGATATTCTCTCGGCATTAGCGGACCAATTACAGCAACTCGAGGTACCGGCACAAACACGCATCAGCTGGTTGGAAGGATTGGCAGAAATTGAGTGGAGGCTCTCCGGGGGTGGATCCGAGACGGTCCAGACCGGCGGACTGGTGGGAGTGGTTCGGAATGGGTGTGAATTGATGGGGGAGAAGGGAGTTGGGCTGGCATGAGATATGAGGTATGAGGCATAAGATGACAGTCAACGTCTTTTTCTACCAATTGAATGGGCTCGCATTCAATTTACAATTGGGAGTTGGAGATATCAGTTCAATGCGATGGCAGCGTCCCAGAATTACTAGTATATGTAGTTCCTACTACTACTAGTATAAGGTTATATCGTATACAAACTGCATCCTATCAGTTCAGGGTACTGAGTATATACTCGGGAAGGATATTACTACCAAGAAAAGGAATGCCGATGCGGGCGACCCGGCCAGACCGGCAATTAAAATGAATGCCAGTGGGCAAGGTTAAACCTGCCTGTATGGAGTAGTCTACTAGTACTAACTACGCTGCTCGTAGTCCTCTGCCGAGTCCCCGCTTGGACCTCACCAGGGTCAACTACATCTCTCCATTCTCCACTTTTCACCTCCCCACTCTTGCTAGCATAGGGTTCAAGTTTCTTATCGCTTACTGCTTTTCCTACATTTCCGCGGTTTCAATTAGCTAATTGCAAGTCCGAGAACTTCCACTTGGCTGCAGTAGCCTCCGGACTTCCAGCCAGGTTAGTCGTCGCCCCCATCTTATCCTAGTCTTACCCTAGCCCAATTCACCAATTCATGCCTCTAACCTCTTCTAGGGTCCCGTTCCAGGAAACTTTGCACCACTCACCACTCGCATGCTTCTGGATTAGCTTCTGAAATGCTTCGGCCGACTCCGCTGCCCCGCTTATACACTTCCTGGCACCCGCGGGACGTCCAAAAATCATCCAACCACCTCCGCGGATCAGCATGCAATGCTCGTCCGCTGACCACCCCTCCAACACCATGGAGCAATGCGTTACATTCATAAGAACCAGTCCAGACCCCCCGGTTTTGCTTCTGTTGTTCTGTGTCCCGCTCGGCTTTTCTGTGCATCGTCAATCCCCTCCCCAAAATGCGTGCCTCTTTCCAGTCCGGCCTGCTGTTGGCCTCGCTCTCCGCGCCATTCGTGGATGCCGAGCGCGTGCTAGGTGCTTACATCTACTCGCGCCATGGTGATCGCACCCCCAAGGTTTTCGGTAACACCGCATTGACCGTCCTCGGCTACCGTGAGGTCTTCAATTCCGGTTCCTACTACAATGGCCGGTACATTGCCGAAGACGACTCGACCTTTCACATCCAGGGTATCAGCAACTCCACCGTTAAGGCTAAGCAGATCAGTGTCACCGCGCCAGATGATTCGGTGCTGCAGAACTCGGCCACTGGCTTTATGCAGGGTGTCTATCCTCCCACCAGCCAGAACGTTGACACCCTGAGCAATAAGACCAAGCAAGAGGCCCCGCTAGGTGGCTATCAAATCGTCACTGTCGGCACCACCGATGCCAACGCCGACAGTGAGGGTTCCACCTGGCTGCAGGGTTCGAGTGGTTGCTCCAAGGCCACTGTCAGCAGCAGCTCCTACTATACTTCCCAGGAGTACCTCGACTTGGAGGCCTCCACCAAGGACTTCTACCAGTCGCTTGCCCCCGTGCTTAAGGGTGCCTTCGCTGAGAAGGATATGACCTTCAAGAATGCCTACACCATCTTCGATTACTTGAACGTTGGCCGCATCCACAACGAGACCAAGCCCAACGTGACCGATGCTCAGTGGATTCAGCTGCAGTCCCTGGCCAACAACCAGCAGTTCAACCTTGCCTACAACTCCTCCGAGGCCGATGGCGTCCGTGCCATCGACGGCAAGGTTCTAGCTGGCGAGATTCTTTCCAGCCTGAATGATACCGTTACTGGCGACGGCAAGTTCAAGCTGGGTGTCCAGTTTGGCTCGTACGGCACTTTCTTCTCCTGGTTCGGCATCATGCAAATGCCTGCTGCGTCCGTTAACTTCACTGGCGTGGTTGATTATGCATCGACCTTCGCCATCGAGCTGGTGACCGACGAGTCTGGCACCGATTTCCCCTCTTCAGACAAGATCAACGTGCGTTTCATGTTCCACAACGGAACTGTCAGCGACTCATCTGAGCCTACGATCTACCCCATGTTCGGTTTACCTGAATCTGAGAAGGTCATCTCTTGGTCCAAATTCGTCTCCGAGACCGAGAAGGTGGCCGTCACCACTGACACCGAGTGGTGCGATATCTGCGGTAACACCGACGGCAAGTGCGCTTCCTCCGGCAGCACTGACTCAACCTCCACCAGCTCCACCAGCTCCGGCGGTTCAAGTGGTGGTGTCTCTCGCCCTGTTGCCGGTGTCATTGGTGCTATGGTCACTCTGGCCGTGATCCTGGGTCTAGGTGCTCTCTTCTTCCTGGTTGGTGGATTCACCGTTGCCAAGCGTCGCAAGGGTGGTCCCGAGATGAGCAACGCTACTGCCGTGACTGGCGATAAGAAGGCTTAAGAATTGGAAAGATTTCGTTCTGAGTGGGGATATAATGGGGATAGAAAAGGTGATGGGTATCACTGCGTACTGTGTTGTCGAGTGGTATCTCCCAGGTCTGAGACTAGCCATTGTATGGATTTGCACGAGTAACGACTGACGGGTAAACCGATAATAATATTGCTTCTATTTACTTTTATTAATTTCCAGAGTAGTAAGCCATGGACCTCAGGATGTAATAAACTCATAATATAGGATAATCTCATATCTCATAGAAGTATACCCTCACGCTAACCCTAATAACCTCGGGTGGCATCCCGCGGATTGACCGCCTTCCCGCGTCTTTCTGGGGTCTCCCCGTCTTTCCTTTCCCTCCATCCTCTTCTTCGTCCCCTCCCCACCACCATGCCGCGTCAACAAATTAATCTCGAGCCCTACCGGGACGAGATTATCGCTCTCTTTCAACACGGTATCAGTAGCGACTCTATCAGCCGCACCCTTGAGAGTCGATATAATATTCAAGTCAAGGAGCGGACCATCCAGTCCCGCCTCCGCAAGTGGGGTATCCGCAAACGAAGCCGAACAACAACCGCTGATGAAGCCCTTCATGCACGCATCAAAATTCTCTTTGTGCAAGATAGGTTGACCGATAAGGCCATGTTAAAGCTCCTGCGCCAAGATGGCTACGACATCTCTGAACGAACCCTGCGTCGTCTCCGGTTCCAGCTTGGCCTCCATGCAAGAGCCTCGCTGGAGCATGAGCGGGGTCCCCTGATACACCTACCGTTGCCTGTATCCGTCCCAGTCTCGGTCATCGCGAAGGGGGTGGAAGCTTGATTTTGCATTGCTAGAGCTCCGGTAGGCTCGGTGCTCTATGCGTCTGCTGATGAAACCCTCCCCCCTCTCGCAGGTGTTTTCCGCCGTTGTTCGATCGACACGGCACTTCTTATCTTTCCCTTATGCGCCACTATCTGGGTCCTCGAACCTAGTAGTACCTTCTTTCCCTACGCGACAACTGAAGGATCTCCGCCTGAATGGCCAGTAGTCAAACCGTCGCTGCTGGCTCAACCGATGCTACATCAACGCAGCACTTTCTCATCCCTTCTCGCCCTTTATGCGCCATGTCCTCGCAATGGGGTCATTCTTACTTACTCCTACTGGTTTCATGTTTTAACATTACAGCCGGTGGGAGTATTGATCTTCGATTGCTCGTCTCCTGCACCTCACCACCTTGTCAACTTCGGTTAGACAAGAACCGAATTACCATAGCGCCATCACGACATTTACGACCGCAGCATCCTCGATTTTTGTTCTTGATACCATTTCGCCACGGACTATATCGACACTTGCTTTTCCCATGCGACAAAAACTAAATCCGACGCGCCATCCAATCTAACCTTGCCAAATGCGACACAGCTCTGAGGAGCAATGACTTCCGATATCCTGATAGACGTTTGACAAAGATGTATCGTATCTACTGTATAAAATCTAGTCTATCTGGACCATGATAAGTGGCCGGAATGTCAACAGAAAAGCAACTGTAGTCTGTCATTGCTTGTACGCAAGTACTTCGCTTCATAACCAAAAGTCACGTGCCATGACGTCCGCTTTTCTCGGCGCATCTTTTTGCCAAAGCTGCGGACCTTGATATTCCACCTCGTCGCCATTGAACATTTCCGCGTGGGCTCTGGGCTGTGGGCTGGTTTCTGATTCCATTTAACCCAATTTAAGCTCCGCATATACTTCACCATGTCCACACAATATGCTAGCGAGCCAAATCCCACCGCGTCCGTCACACTAAACACCACCATCGGACCCATCCACATCGCCCTCTTCGCGAACCAAGCTCCCCTCACATCCAAGAACTTCCTCCAACACTGCAAAGACAACTACTATGCCGGAACAATCTTCCACCGTATCGCGCCCGATTTCGTGATCCAGGGAGGTGACCCTACGGGAACTGGATCTGGCGGAACCTCCATCTACGAATACCCCGAGTTCGAGTATGACCCCGAAGCCCGCGACCCCAGTGAACGGGTTGTATTGCGCGATGAGATACACAGTCGACTACGCTTTAACCGCCGAGGACTGGTCGGTATGGCGAAGAGTGAGGACGGGTCATATGGGAGTCAATTCTTCATCACGCTGGGTAATACTGAGCGCGAGATGAATGGGCAATGCACACTTTTCGGACGATTGGAGGGCGATAGTATTTTCAACGTGCTGAAAATTGCAGACGGTGACCGTGTGGAAGGAACCGAGCGACCAATCTATCCGATCAAGGTGACTTCCTGCGAGGTTGGAGAATTAGGCCCGCTAGCCGGCAAGTTGAAGGATAGGAAAATCACATCCACAACATCAGGAGGGGACAAGCCCGCGTCCAAGAAAAAGAAGAAGCCAGCCAAGGGAGGCAAGGCCCTGCTCAGCTTTGGTGGAGACGAAGGTGAAGAAGAAATGCCTATGCGTCCCGCAAAACCCAAGTTCAACACAAAGCTCGTGTCAGATGTCCCGGGCGGCATCAGCGAGTCCCAGAAGGAACCAAATACCCAATCGAAAGAGTCGAAGCAACGTAAACGGCCACGCTCACCATCGCCGCAACGATCTCCGTCCCCACCGCGCAAACAGCGCATCAAGACACCAGAGCCAGAAACCCAACTCCCACTCCAAGATCCGGAATCGCCTGCTCGATCTCGCTCTCCACCTGCTAAGGAGTCCAAGGTCTCTCGAATGAACGCCGAATATGCCTCCCTGAAAGCATCCATGCGTCGAAATGTGGAAACTGGCCCGGTCGATACCAGCCGCAAGAAGACAGCATTAGAAGCCATGATCCCTGAAACGGCAATTCGAGGTCGTAGGCGACCCCCTCCTGGCTCGAATGGCGCAGCATCGGGTTCTGCCCCCAGAAGTGCTGCAGAGCGGGATGCGCTGCAGATGTTCAATGCATTCAAGGCGAAACTGGAAAGCGCCGAGCCCAAATCCTCAACGAATTCACATAACAACGGGGATTTGAAGGAGTCAGGGGATTCCCGAAAGCAAGATGACGATGACGAGGAGGCCCAGCTTTGTGACTTACATTTCATCGCAAACTGCCAATCCTGTCAGTCCTGGGATGATCCCGAGGAGGCGGACGATGATGCGGGCAAAGATGATGTGGGATGGTGGAGCCATGAATTACGCTTCAATAAGGATACTCTCAGGCAAGGACCTGAAGTGGAAGAAAGAGAATCCTGGTGATGTCGACTCGCTAATGGTCATTGATCCGCGAGAGAAGGAGAAGGATTTGACGAGTGGTGGGCGGAAGCGAGGGTTGCAACGAGATCGGGAGAGAGAACGAAAGAAGGAACGTGCTGGGGAGTTGGAATGGGACCGAGAAAGGAAGTAGAGGGGATGAGAAGTAGAATTAGTGATACCATGTCTTCTGTTCTATTCCAAGGTTGGCAATCTGGGCATGTACCGTGCCATTAAACCATATAATGACAGATGTAAATGCCATCTTATCTACCACATGTTTAGATCGTAGTTCGTTCCTCCTTGCTTATGTTCAAGAAAATGAATTAGGTATCTCGGTTCATCAGCATTAAAGGAAACACACGAGGTAAATAAGGTAGAGAAACCCTCTTCGACAGTCTCTATCAGGTTGAGGTCTGCTCAACCGCATTCGCCTTCTCGCTTGCACTTGCACTTGCACTCTCGCTCACACGCCCACGCCCCGACCATCCTCCAGGCGGCCGCCCCCAGGCTGAGTCCCAGAGACGACCAGCCTCCGATTTCATACGATCATGACCTCGCCGAGGAGGGGACTTGGGAGACATGGGACTGGTATTCCCGATCAACCCTTTCTGCCTCGCCTCCTGCTCCGCCTTCAACCAACCAAAAAGCTTGCCATTCTCTCGAGCTCGATGTTCAGCTCTAGGATCAACATCAACATCAAACCTGAGTAGATGATGGATGATCCTCCTATCCCCCAAAGCAACAGCATGATATAGCGCCGTTTCACCCCAATAGTTGGCCAGATTGATCTGCACACCGTGGTTCAGCAACGTTATAACAACTGCCTCGTGGCCATTGCTAGCAGCTCTAGACAAAGCGGTATTATCATATTGGTCGTCAGAATCAAGAACATCGGCATTGACCCCTCGCTCCAGCAACATGCGAACAATCTCTGCATGGCCATTCTCAGCCGCCTTCTTGAGGGCATCGGGACCAGATCGACCATTCGCCACGGCTGCCGCATGACTGAGTAAAATCTGGACAATTTCCTGATGTCCATTCTTCGCCGCCTGCACGAATGCAGTCTCGCCCTGCTGGTTAACAGGGTCCAAATCGGCACCTTTGGCAAAGAGCAGGAGAACAATTTCCTTATGACCATTCGCAGCAGCCTGTGACAAAGCAGTATCACCTCCCTCAGCTGTCATGTTGATACTCGCTCCTCTCTTCAGCAGATTCAAAACAGAAGTCACGTCCCCATCTTCCGCACAAGAAACCAAATCAACCCGATGCCCCATCGCCTTGGAAACCATATGACTGACGTGAGTAGGCTGTACTTTCAAACCAGAGAGAGCCTGGCGAGATTGCTTGCTGATAGAATTCCACCGCGGAGACGCATAAGTGTACTCAGAGATCTGATTCATCCACGCAGACGCCATATTGGTAGCCAAATCACGGACATGCCCGTACGACAACAATCCATCTTGCGAAGAGCGAATCGTATCGGGCGGGATATCATCGAGTTGAGGAAGATCTCCGCCGAGATCAGATTCCTTCAGTGCGGCGTAGATCATGTCGAAGGTCTGTGTGAAACACTCGGAATTAATGCCCGCATCTTGCAGTTCCTTGCGGAGTTGTTTCCAGCCTTCCTTTTCGTCGGCAGAGAGGGCTTTGGTGGAGATGACGGATTGCTCGCGCTTGCCGCTGCGGATTTCTTCGATGAAGGCTTTCATTGTTCTCTCTACGTGTTCTTGAGATGATCTGGAATGAACGTTAGTTTTTTCAATCCTATTTCACTTTGATGGAGAACAACTTACCTGATGATATTCGTATTGTGCGTATTAAGAACATTGGAATAGGCTGCGAGTCTCTCTTGTATCTCCGCCAGTTCTTTAATAGCTTCGTCTGTCAATTCCCGGCCACTCTGTGGAGGCCAGATGGCGTGATGCTGGCGGTAGAATTTCCGCAATGCGAAGAGGACCTCGTCGCAGCCCTGTAGTGCTTTTTCAATAGAAGTATCGACATCGCTAGAGCCGGAAACGAGTGAGACAGCCTCGACAGTGTCCAGGCCCACAATCAGCACAGCGAGTTCAGTCTGGACCTTGGCCAGCGGTTCTGACGCTGTAAACAATGATCGATGCAGAGAGCGAGCCAGTGGTGCCAGTATTGCGATATTATCTTCAGAGTTCAGATATCAGCCCTATGCTCGGAAAAGTGACACATCAAATACAGTTTGATCACACATGGCATGTAGCACATGGTGACATGACAGATCGCTATGCTATGCTATTCTGCTTACAGTCATCAGTTGGTTTGTGCACCGGGGCATTCGGATTTGGGTTTGGGTCTGTGTTTGGGTTTGGGTTCGCTGCTGCAGGTGTTCCCCCTGAATTGTCATCCGGAGTAGTAGACGACGACATGGTCGATCTGGATAGTGTTTGCGAAGAATCCCAAAAATGGGGGAAATTCTGATCATATACCCCCCGTACCCAAGTACTCTGTAGTACTCCGTAGTAACAGGAAGCACAAGGCAGCCTGCAGGTTTCAGTAGATTCGGGAGTGGACAAGTGGTGCGGAGGCTGAGCCAAAGCCGCCTTGTGGTTTGGGGGCGGGGCGTGAAGTCTTGGCTGTCAGTCAGTGCTACTAGTAGTTAGTAAGTACGAGTAGGAGTATTGCTATTAATGTACGGAGTATTACTGGTATGCATAGAGTACTAGTAAATTGCATAGGGCAAATCGCCCAATCTAGATTCATTTCGTCAGGGATTGGATCATGGCTGATTGTTACAAATCCAACCTGGTGCGCCCAAAGTAAGTACATCCACCTATAAACAGAAATAACCGTAGGAAACGCCGTGATTCGCCGGGGATATATCTCCTGACTCGCTTTTCTTCCTTCCAGCAATGATAAGACTGGCCTGTCTCTATCTGTGTCTCTGTCCATGACTCTGACTATGCCCTCCTGCGTCGTTTGGCACTGCCTCCATCATTCACAGCATCGCCTGCCTGTTCATCCGCCGCCGCAGGACTCGTAGCTTCACTATCGGTCAACTGTTCAATGACACGACCCGAGTCCAGTTTGTGATCGGCCACGGTATCACCACCATACTCATGGCTACCATCAAAGCCGTAGTTGTAGCCCGATTGCCCTTGGTGAGTTCCATCGAAGAGATCGCCTTCACTAGGAAGGTGATCGAAATCGAATAGATCATTGGTATCACCATCATCGGGCTGAACATTGCCCAGATGATCATGTGTGTTGGCGCCGATTCCTGATTCATGAGCTGCGTTGTCTCCCAGGTTGAGACTCTTGTCGTGATCTCCGTCGCCAATGTCGGTGAAATAGTCATTGTTGAATATTTGGTCGAGGTCAAGCGGTGGAGGCGGTACACTACCATCCCCTTCGCTTAGACCAGGGATGGTGCCATTCGGACTTAATGGCTGGAGCAGGTTGGTGAGGTTTTGGACGGAACGGTCTTGCTCCGCTTGCATCTTCACAAGGTTGTCGATCTCTTGCCGGGTACTGGCGAGGCGACCGGAGTAGTTTGGTGGCATCGGGGGCGGGTTCGGGGTTGTGAGAGCGTTGTTGTGTGAGTTGGAGCCAGTCGGGTTCGCAGTGTTAATCTCATTGCCCATCAGGCGCAACATATCTTCACGCTGGTTCTGCGTAAGGGGGATGTTACCGCCTGATGTTTCAAGAGAAGATAGAACATTGGGGAACTCGGAGAAGTTTGTTGGAATCCCATTTCGCGCGTTGGAGTTCTGAATCACGGACATGATGTCCCTCTGGGTATCATGATCGTCCGCCTGATTCTGCGAAGGGATACTAGCTCTGTCTTGCCGCGGGCTATTGTCGAGAACTTCTTCCACATGGCCATGGTGGGTAGCACTGGGTTGGCGCGCATGGCCCCGGGATCGGGTTTCATACTGACCAGCAGATGCAGGTGACAATGTAGTCGCCCGGTTTTGGCCGTCTGTGGTAGGAGGAGCTTTGAGAAGCAGGGGCTGCTTTTTCATTGCCCGTTGACCGGTCGGGCTGGCCATGGAGGCCAAAGGATTGAAGGAGAAGTCATCCACATCCACAATGTTCCCTTGGTCCCCGGAGATAGCACCAGCAAATGAATTAGCAATGTTCTGCGTTCCATCCCCTCCTTGCAGACTGCGGTTATAAACTGTCGCGAGGAAGGTGAGGATCGCGTTAATCGAGTTTTCGTGGCGAGTATGTTGCTCTTGGAAATTGGCCGCTTGGGAGTACAGCTGTTCATGCTCCTTCCGAAGCCGACTGATAGTGCCCGATATTATTGATTGCTGTTGACGTATTGCTTGCAGCTCTCGGTACACTCCAGATAATTGGTCTTGGGGCATAGAACTGTCCGTGCGGAGAGAAAGTTGGTTGGGCCGCCCACGTTCGTCGCGAGATATAGCCGCTCCCTCTTCGACGAAATCGTCCATGTCGTTCTCGTCAGCATCCTCGGTCTTCACACGCGCGCCACCTTTGCTTGGTTTGCTTGCATGGCCAGCTGCATTCTTCGGTTTAGAGATCAGCCAGAGTAGATCCGGGTGGCCGCGTTTGAAGTAGGGATTGGCGTATTCGCTGGGGCTTTTGTTCTTCCGCTCGCTCGCTCGCATTGAGTTGTCCGACAGCCCAACTTTCTTGTGAAACCCGTACATATTAAGCTGTCGAACGAACGACGCATAATTGTTATGCTTAAAGAGCTCCGGAATCAAGGTCCTCGCGAACTCGTCTTCGTCGAGTACAATGAAAGAGTTTCCATCATCCGACCACCGAATTAACTCTGTATTTTTTGACTCGTCCAGAAAGCTGTAGGTTGCGTTAGTCTTATATTTCTCTTCTTTCTTCCGTGGGGGGGGGGGAATTTCTAAACATACCTGCTGAGCTTCTGCACAAAAGGTGGAATTTGTTTCCTCTTGGCCTGTGATTCTCTCTTCGCAACCTGGGCACGTTCATAAAGTTCCTCCAATGATTCTCCCCAGGCGCCTGATTCACCTGGTGGACCGACCGTGGCGTTGTGATCTGGGTATACCGTGGGCGCTTGTTCATATCCGCGGTTTCGACTGACCAACTGCTGGCTTGTCTGCTGACGGCGGGCAAGCTGATTTGATGCGGCGGCAGAGATGTCTTGGTTTGCTTGGTATGCCTGTTGGTTGTAGGTCGAAGCCGCCTCATTGAGAGCGGCAGTGTTGATCGCATTCGCGGCAGGATTTTGGCCCCATTGCAAGAACTGGTCGTTGGAGAGCTGAGAGCCTGGGTTCGCGTAGTTTGGGACGGCGCCACCCATCTGCGGGTGCGAGGCCGGAGCTGTTCCTGGGGCAGGTCGCTTGCGAGTCATGCCTGGAGAGCTCATTGTAGATCGAGAGGATATCGGACAGCGGTGGAGGGTATCCGAACGCGAGTGGCGGGATTGAAGGCGATTGAGTCTGGGCGGGCGCGACGGGCGCAAAGGGCGCAGAGCGATGCGAATAGGATATTGTCGGAAATTGCGGATCTGGAGATGACACCTCTTTCGACAGAGAGTTGCGGCGCCTCGATCTTGTGTCGGGCGTGTTGGGTCACGTAAAAAGTCTGGGTGGAGAGCGGGAATCGGGTAAAAAACTGGCCGACTCTCACGAGAGCACCGACGCCGTACAAGAAAGCGTCCAATGAGTCACGGAGATGCGAAAACCGGCTCCAATGGATGTGAAGGTCGAAAGTCAACGATCGAAGGTCTCCCGGGTCGGAGGCTGGCTGCAACGGATTCGAACAGAGGCTTTGACGATGATCAGCAAGTGCTGAAAGAAACCGGACATTCAGGATTGCCGGACAAAGGACCGAGATATATATGGCCCCGGAAGAAGAAAGTAGCAGGTGATGTGAATACTATCACACCGCAACTGAGGACGAGCGAGGGAGCGTTGGAGCACGAAATCTTGCGCTGCGCTCGCTTGGCGACTTGAGGTCATCGAGCGGGGATGAGTCAGCATGTGACAGAGTGGGTGGAGGTACCGATACTTCAAGATGCATATATTATTGTGTGTGTCGCTAGGTACTGGTACTTTATATCCCTCTTCCTCTCTCTCAAGGGTCTACTAACGATCCCAGTGGCATACAGTTGACCTGACATTATTGATTTCTCATTCTCATCATATATTCATCTCAATCATGTAGAATCCCCAACCAATCCCTGGAACTCCTTCAACAACTCCTCCCATGCAGCAGAGTTTGCCTGCGTAAACTTCTGCACCTCCTGCGGGGCAGCCAGATCTTCCTTCATACGTGCTTCATTCTTAGTACCATTCAACACTGTCGTGTTACCCAGGCTCATAACAAGAGCATACAAGGCAGCGGCAGGACTGATTTTCACTTGTGTGGCTAGCTGCTGCACAGGTCGGGATTGTACTAGATCCGGATTGGCAGTCAGTGTCCAGAAACTCTGATAAATAATATCCTTCTCTCGGCAGAATTGTCGCAGCGGGACATCAAATTCCGTGTCTTCGTAGAATCGATTTTGCACCACAGCAGGCTTCACCTTCGTTGCGGGCGAAGAGTCCAGTGCGGCAAGAAGGGGCAAAGAGCAATTCGAGATACCCAGGTTGCGGATGCGATGGGGTACATAGGTCTCGAGGGCCTGCCACGCTTCCAGGGTCATCTCAAACCTTCGAAGTGGGGAGTGAATGACCAAGGTATCGATGTAGGCCTCGGCCACACTGTTGGGGTCTGCTGCAGGACGAAAGTTGTGCAACGATGACTTGATTGAAGCATGTACTTGCTCTGTTACCGACAAGTTGGGATCATAGGGCATATTGTCTGGATCCTGTGCCCCGATCGGACTGAATTTGGTTTGCAGCTGGATGTCGACGTCTTAGTCTCGATGGCATATTCTTCAGCGTTACTCTGAACATACGTAAAGGTCCTCTCGGCGAACAACACCATCCACAATGGCCTTGCGAATGCCATCACCAACGAGATCTTCTTGATAGTGCCGTGGCTGGGCTGCTGTATCAATCGCTCGGAAGCCGGCGGTGATGGCAGTGTTGACCAGCTCGGCTGTTTGATCTTTCTTCCAGGCTGTGCCATAGAGGAAGACCGGGATCGCTGTTGATGAGGAGTGGAGGCTAGGGCGTAGGCAGTAGCTTTCCCACATTTTGCTCGCAGCTCGAGCCATGATGAACTTGAAGAAGTGGAAGTGGAAGTGGATAGAATGTGTAAATTGACGAGATCTATAATTAGTTAACTTGGGCAGTTGTCGTTGCGGGGGTCTTACTAAGGGCTACCACTACGTCAATTCATCACCACCACATACAAACTACTACATACTACTACATACTAGTCAAAAGAAAACATCGCATGCATCTTACTATTAAGGGATCCACGAGGAAATTATAATCCTATCTCAGGCCGATTGCCAATGGTGTGTTTGTCCCAAGGTTAAATTATCATCAACCTTGGAAGGGCCCATTATCGCAGCAACTGTCCATGCCCCACGGAGTACTATTACCTAGTATCGTACCTCCAACGCACTTAGTACTGATGGTCTGCGAATCTTGGAAGGGTTTGAGAATGCGGTAGCCTAAAGATCGTTCGATGCATTTGCTATTTATATATCGAGCGGCATCGGTGGAGTGGATTGGTTCGGGCTACATTAGAAGGATGCATACCACCACCCTTGGCTGGTTTAGGGCCAAACTTCATTATTCTGAAGCCTTCGATGTCGCAGATCCCAATTTCCAAGATCTTCCCCACGTCCTCTCGGATCCATCGCAACATGGGGAGAGCTAAACGAGCGGTGGAAGCGCAGATATGCAATTGCCAAGCGTGCGAGCGGCCCCACTGGGGGTGGCTTAGCAGTCCCTTGATGCTTGGCAGAGGGTAAATATCCTGCAGTCCGATCTAGAAAAAGATATTTTGAATAGTGAAAAATCTATGTAGAACAGCATCATATCGTCCATAGCTTGGGACCTTGATTGGAGCTGTGAATCCTTTTGTGGATGGATATCGGACGCAAAGAAAAAATACTAGGAGAACTCCATTCACAAGACCTCACGATTGCCCAGATTATCAGAGTGCCATTGCTGCCCGTTTCTTGGCATTCTCAATAATGGAGCAGGCAGCTGCTTTTGCAGCAGTGACATTGGTGGCTTGCCCTGATGATCAACAGAGGGGCCCTGCTAATAGCTTCACTTGCATGCTTCATGGCAGCAAAGAAAGAAAATTTGTATCCCGCGGGGGGCTTAGCAGTCTCGCCCACCTCCTCAGATACAGGCAACTTGACGGAAGAGGCCGATAACTAGGATAATTTTGCCTATGCAAGGCTTAGAATCTCTCGGCATGATGATAGATTGGCAGGGTTCAATTCGAATTTCAATTATAGAAACAGACCCTCGCAATTGAGAAGAATACTAGTATAAATATCCCCTGTTGTCCATAGGAAAGGATAATCACAACGAGCAATACAGCAATTGAAAAACAAACAAGATTCTATCACTTCCATCAATTCAAACTCCAAGTTTCGAAAACAACCAACAACATGCGTACTCAGCAACTCCTCGCTCTCAGTGGCCTTCTGCTCGCCGGCAATGTCGCTATCGCATCTAAGCTCGACCACGATGATGTTCCCAACCGGTGTTGGGAAGCCTGTGGATCGGTGGTGAACACCGCTCAGCGCTGTGACCATCAGCATGATAATGACGACTCGGCTGAGATCCAGTGCATTTGTGATTGGGATGCTGCAAAGACTCAAGTCCCTCTCTGCGCAGCTTGTATTGACAAGTATGATCGTGACTACGATACTGACGACGACAACGACGACGATGACGATGACGATGATAATGGTACGCTCTAGTTCATCCGCAGTAGAGATAACAACCATGCTAATATCTCTCCAGAGGCTCTCGAGATCATCCGCTCGTGCAACTTCAGCACAACCACCTACAACGCTTCTGCGACCACCAGTACTGGTTCGACCACTACAACTGGATTGGGAGCTGCTGCCACCACCACCGGTGCTTCCTCTACCAGTGGTAGTACTGGATCCGGCATCAGTACCAGTGACGACAGCGGCAGTGGAAGTGCAGGTGCAAGTGCAACCAGCCCTGATACGAGCAGCGGCAGCAGTGACCCAACTCAAGACTCGGCTTCTGCCACTCCAACCAATGCTGCTGCAGGCATGAATGCCCCTGGCGCTATATCTATGGTTGCTCTCGCTGGTCTGATTCCCTTGGCTTGGCTTTAAACTCGACCTGCAGTGTCGAGGGACGTAGTCCAGGAGGATGTTAGTGGTATATATGAGGATACGATAATGATGATGCGCAGTCATGATCGTGGTGACGACTTTCTTTAAATAATGCAGATGATAGTACTCCGATAATGGCCTGTCTATAGTACATACAAATTGATATCCTGTTGCAACTGAGAATTGATTTAGATCACCCACCGTACTAACCGTAATATCTTCCTGTCTGTTCCATCTCGGGGTTCCGTGTGAGACAACGTTCAACTTTCGCTCGATATATCAACACTAGCACCACTAGTAACTTTTGAGTTACTGCTAGACTTATATAGTAGGAAAGTTAGAAATGAATAGACCGTGCTGTCTATGAAGCGTTTATCGGAAAAGGAACCAAAAAATAGATACAAACAAGTCACGTTCAAGAAACACAAAATTCATTTGAACAAAGCCATATGGGTATCTTTCAGTCATCTCTGGCACTCCGGGTGCCGAGCCGATATCTATACAAAATTTTGCTTTACATGCCCCAGTTCCTCTTATATTTATCATCTGTACTCATATCACATCGTATCATCCACCGGTATGTTTTTTTGAACCGGACTATCGCTGTATAAATTGTCCGGGTCCATGGTATCGACGTAGGAAGTGTCTTGCTCGGAAGGTTTATCGTTATTTTGACCCTTGCTCCCACTGTCCATATTGTCCTGGTCCATTGCATCGACGTCGAAGGTATCTTGGTCATAGAGCTGACCATTCTCGTAAGTATCGGGATTTTCTATATCAAAGTTATCCCAGAAGGAATCATCGACCCAGGATGTCTCATCAATTGGGTCAAATGAAGGATCCCACTCAATATTATAGGTATCCATGTAACATTGTTCCTTGGCAGGACAGCTAGAAGGCCACTGGTTAGCTTCAAGACTCATTCGAATCACAGCAGCAAAATGCACAAAGAAGTAAACTCACAGGATGTTTTCTTGTCCAAAGATAATATGCCACAGGTATTCAAATATACGACCGCTCGTCTCATCGTCCAGCTCTGTCTCCATCAGCCAGCGATGGAAGGCTAAGTATTCATGGAGCGGTCGTGCAAGAATCTGCTCCCGCGTCACAGCGAACTGAGCACAGCAAGGTACGGCGACCACCTCCGGTACATTGGTATTGTTGAAAATACGCATCCAAGCACCAGCAAAGGCGACCTCCGTCGTCCGTCCAGCCAGCTGTCGAAACGGCTGGACTTCTTCTGGGCATCCTGGTCCCCACTGACAGCGCATATTGACATATCCTTTCTTTTTGACATGGTCGAGCTGAAGTCTTTGAACAGCCAAGGCGTTGTCTTGCTCAGGGAACTCAACGTGGTAGCCCCAACGGTGGGCATGTAGGAAGACATTATAATCCGGGAAGTTAGGGTAATTATCTGCGATATATTGGAGATAGACATTGCTTTCTTTGCCTTTATTTTCTTGGACGGTAAGTTCGGCATCAGGGTCGTCGACGACATAGACTGCGTGTTGCCATCTGCGTGGTTGTTCAAGTTCTGGTTAGTTGGATGTGATCTCTTCGATGTGGGTTGACTCTTTCCCTCCTCACTCTTGACTCACTCCGGCAGTTCGTCTTCCAGCCACGTCGCATCTTCATATGACATCCGTCCTAGCACGACAATGCGATCGGGTTTCGGCGTTGGTTTCGGTTTCGGAGGGGAGGAGGAAGTCGGTTTGCTATTCTTGTGTCGCTGGCCCAACTGCGCCTCCCCCTCTCTATAGTCGTCGTCCAGGTACGAATCGTCGTCATCATCCAGAAAGAGCTCACCAGGCACATTAACGGGAATCTGCTTGGGCGCAAACCGGGTTGGAGGAGCCGGCCTGGTCGGCTCCAGCCAGGCTTGCACCGTCGGCGAAGGAGTAGGCTTCGCTATCGTTTGCGAGATCGAGGCTGGCGGTGGAATCGGCACATGCGAGGATGCAGCGCGTGCAGAGTCAATAATAGCGCGAGGGTATCGGTCCACTGAGACCAGCTCAATGTGACCTTCACCGTCCTCAATCACAAATTCGGATTTGAAATGGGAATCTCCGGCCTGCGCCGGCTTGAGCGAAGCGACATGGCGATTGACCAGCACAAGGGTCAAAATAAGCCCTATAGCGACCGAGACACGCAAACTCTTGGACCGTCGCATCATCACGTCTCTCGCAGCGATGAGGAGCAACCAGGCGTGCGCTCCCCTTATGAACTACGAGTATTTTAAAGTCGTCTGCGTCTTACTACTTTGCACCGGGCCCCACCGTAAGCCACGCAGCCAGCCGCGACGCCGCGACGCCGCACGCCGTCCACCAGTGGTACACCTCCTGCAGGCGTCGTGTGCCTTACGACATCTTCCAGTGCATCATCATCATGCATCGGCCTCCGAGAGAATGGCCGTTTGTTCTTGAAATTGTTCAAATTTAGGCCCGAATAATACCCTCGAATTGACCCTATTTTTCTGCAAAAAGACATCGCTGATCGCCTGTGGGGCCGACATTCGTCAGCGATTCGCATTCCTCTGGAACGACCGTTTCAAGTTCCAGGGACGAGGTCGATCGGTCTCGAATGCAACCCCGCGATTCTCACCGGATGCGGGCAATGTAGAAAGAAGCTTAACTATGAAACACCTACGAGTGCAAGATGCGAGGTGTCCTTTGGAATCATTCGATGGGATACTGCCGACATGTCTCTGCCTGCTCGTTAACTAGTGATACATTGGACTTGGGAACTCGCAGACGCGGACCCCTTTGCATTGCTGGAGATAGTGATAGCAAGCTCTTAACCTGAAACCCCATTAACCGACGCAGTACGGAGTACATACGAGGACGAGGACTCTGTACTCTATACTCTGTACCCTGTTAAGTGTCAAGGATCTGAAGCCCAGAGCCATACATACATAACATTGCCCCCGTGGTCTAGTGTCTGACTACGAGTAAGATGATACTGCAAACACGGGGCTGTCATCTCATTTTTTTTATTACTCGTCGAGGGTACAAGTAAGCGTGAACCAATTGGAGCATGTCCGTGCACATGTCGTTCTCCTTTCTGCTCTCGAAAAATAACAGTCAAGAACAAGACTACGTAGTAGTTCAGTACATCATCTCGTCTAGAGACGGCACCAGAAACAATCACCCCACCACCGTCGATGAAGCCAGAGTTGCGATGTTTACTGTCATCAGATGAACCGGGTATAATAATCAATCCGGTTTGTTTTGAACTGCAAGTGCGCTGCGTAATAGTAGTGAGGTCATAGTGTCCAAATAGTATACCTATAGTGCGGCGCAGGTGGCAGATATAGACACTTGTTATTTCCGTTTTGTACCTGTTCTGACTTCCGATGACTAGTTATTTCCTACGCACCCCAACGGGGTAGCTACCATTAGAACCCACGAGTACAGAGCAAACTGAGACTCGCGAGTCACCACGCTCAAGAGCCCGGGGCATCCGGGGCATCCCAAGCTTTTGTAGTGGGCGTAGCATGGCGCTTATGCGCGACTTCGCAAATAGCTCCAAGCTTTGGTCAGGTTATCCGGACCATGTGGTGACCTGTCTCATAGCGAACCGTCCACAAACCAAGTACGGAGTACTCATACGGAGGAAGACCTCATAGGTCTTACGGTGATCGACCCTGAGGTGCAACCGTTCGAGTTAGTCCACGCCTTATCTCACCCCCTTTTCCCAGTTACCCATCTTCGTCCTAGTCCATCCTTCGAACTCCAAACTTCGTAATCGTGACACCACCAGTGGAATCTGCCAGGCACCAACATCCGCAAGATTGGAATCGGCATCGGTATCAGCCGGGAGTCCCGGAACGACTCCCGAGGCGCCAATGGCTTGCCCCTAGTCGCTAGACCGTGAGGCTATTATTTAGTCCTGTCGCAGTTTTTTCGGAATCAAGGGACCCATCGACTTGGGTCTTGGGTTCGGTCAACCCACCACGACACCCCACTCGCCGGACACTGCACGGCGTCTCCAGACGGAGACGGAGAACGGAGAACAGAGTTGGCAAACAGAGTTGGCGTGCAGTGCCGGGGAAGTAAGTCACGAAGATCGACCGTCTGAAAAAGGGGGTCTGTGAACAAGCATATCCCGAACAGACCAGGCCCTCGAGTCAGCTGAAGAAGAAAGCGCTGGGTCAAAGGATTCAAGCGATCCAAAACCTTCACACCAGTCTCAGTTCCTACCCTACTTGTATCCATCCAGCATAGCCACAGCCCCTCCTGAGCACTCTACATACTCGTATGAGTACTCCGTACTTCGTCGACCAAAAAAAAAGAGGGGGGAGGGGACGTTCGGAAGAAAAGCAGGTAGCTCCGGAAGCTTTCCCCATCCTCATGGTACTAGTTTAAAGCCGGCGTGTGCCAAACCTGAACATTGGGATGGGATTGGAAGACGCTTATTGGCGAAGGAGGAGAATAGCAGCCCAGCAGACCCTCGCGGAGCTTCGCTAGGAACTCCACCGAGGAAGAATGCGGTCGGGATCTGACGTTTCCACTCGAGGGGGGGGGGGCTTCTCGTAGGCTCTAGTGAGATTCTAGCTGGAGTTATGGAAGGGCGGAAGTGCTTCGGCGCAGGCGCTAGAAACGGGGGATGCGCGGATCGTGGAGCCAGGGGGTGGAAAATCGCAGGTTTCAATTTCTTGGAGTGGGACCGTTTGGTGGGTGAGGTGGACTTATGGTGTTATGCGCAGAGGCGAACGAGTGAGGCTAGAAGAAGAAGGAAAAAAGAGAAGAAAATCTTTTAATTAAAAGTAAAAAAATAGAAAGAAAAAATAAAAAAGTGCCGGGGAATGGAATCGCTGGGCCGTCCCGTCGGACCAAACTATTGCTATTGCTATTGCTATTGGCGAAGCGAGTTGGATCCCCCTGAGAGGAGCAGAAATGGGAATTGGCCGTGGCGTCGAATGAGAAGTGCGTTTGGGAGGGGTGGAAGTAGGTGGAAGATAATAATAATAACATAATACCATGGAGGGTGGCGAAGAACGGTGATCCAAGGCTATTACGGAGCCAGTATGGTATCCATTGTACTCGTGCGGAAGAGATAGGGGTTTATGGGATGAGAAGGGCATTGGACCTAGGTAGATGGAGGTCAAGTTAGTTCTTGTTCTCCAAGGATGGATATTGGCGTGGACAGGGGCGTGTCAAGTAAAGCACCCAAAGCACCCAAAGCACGAGGCAAGGCGTGATCCGAGAGCAGGGGGGAGGCACCGATGTCAGTCCAAGTTTGAAACTGCTCGTGCGAGATCCACGTTAGTCTATTTTATGTTATTTTATGAGAGGAACCTGGGAAGAGATGGACTGGGTACGCAGGCTTTAAGTACATACTGCATGAATACTCGTAGGATGGAAGTTTACTCGGCAGTTGAGCAGCTGTACGTAATACTACTAGTTACCTGACTCAATGGCACTGGGATTGGCAGATTTAAGCGTAGTCGTGTATATAACCCGATGAGTCCGAGTTTGGTTGTCTGTACGGAGTACGGAGGATACGGAGTATACGGAGTATAAGGAGTATATACTGAGTCAGTAGAATGAGGTTTAATAGACCAAAATTGAATATTCTGTATACTGTAGACACAGAGCACGTATGGATACTATGCTCTATCTATTAGTATAGATCCATATACCATGTGGTACATGCCAGTGCTCAGGGGCAATAATACTAGTAGGGAGTACAGTGAGTGGAGGGGTGGAGGCTGATGATACAAGTATATGATAATCATGATATTTATAGTATACATTATACAGTATACTACATACTACATAGTATACTGTGTATACTCCTCTGTGTATACTGTGTATACTGCCACTCTTGGCGGTGGATCACCCACTTCGCCCCTTCAAAATCCTCTTCTCCCCCGCTCTCCCTTTGCCTGCCTCGACTGACTCCTCCACGGGCGTCTGCCTCTTCTCTTTTTATAAAAAGCAATATCCCGTTTTTTTTACTCATTTCCCTTTCCATTCACCCCCCACACACCCCCCCCTTCCCCCCGAGTCCACACCCCCCCTTTTCCATGATCCGGGCACTTCACGACTCTGCATCCTCGTGAGCGATTTTGGTTTTTGCTTTCTCTCCGACTTTTTCCCTCTCGCCAAACCATCTCCCATGTCCGAGTAGCTTCGTACTCCTTCAAGTGTCGATCCTCTCTCTCTCTCTCTCTCTCTCTCTCTCTCTCTCCTCCCTCCTCCCTCTGTTTTGCATCTGTGTTGTGGTAACCCACATTCCTCGGGTCTTCAAGGAATCCATCCACAATGAGTTATCAGCAGCATCCGGATATGTATCACGATCCCGCCGCGCGTTCCCCTGGCTCCCAGCGGCACCAACAACCTCTACATCGTCAGAGTTCACGACAGTTTGACGCCTACGGTCCCATGCCTGTCAACCTCTACGAGGATCAGATGGCTCGCTACGAGACCTCCCGGCTGGAACGGTTGAACCCGTCCCTTCAGCAGAACAATTCCTCCTATGCCTACGACCTGTCCGGCTCGCAGACATGGAACCCGAATGGTTTCGCCAACGCTCAGTCCCTGGGAGGTATCCGGTCGGCTTCTGCGAGTCTAAAGCCGAATGCTCGTGGTCGAACTGCTCTGCCGACGGTAAGAAAAGAACCAACTGGCGTGTTGCGTGTTGTGTTGTGGTTTTTCTTCCACCCCCTTCCCTTTTTTTTTTCTTGGGGGACAAGTCCCCCAACCAAAAAAGAATTGCCACCACAAACACACACTTGTAACAACGCTCCCCTTTTTTTTAGGACTCACCGGCTAATTTTGGAATTTTCCGATCAGACTTGGCTGGATCAGCAACCGGGAGTCCCTGGTGCCTTTTCTAACCTGGGCCCCGGCCCCGGTCAAAGCACCGCGATGCGCCCGGAGGCATCCGCCTCCTCCGAAGGCGATGACGAACTCATCCCAACCGCTATTGTTATCAAGAACATCCCGTTTGCCGTCAAGAAGGAACAGCTCGTTCAGTTGATGACCGAACTGAACCTGCCCTTGCCTTACGCCTTCAACTACCACTTCGATAATGGGGTCTTCCGTGGCCTTGCCTTCGCCAACTTCACCTCCGCGGAGGAGACGGCAACCGTCATCGACATGCTGAACCACTTCGAGCTGCAAGGTCGCAAATTGCGGGTGGAGTACAAGAAGATGCTTCCCCTACAGGAACGTGAACGGATCGAGCGGGAGAAGCGAGAGCGTCGCGGTCAGTTGGAAGAGCAGCACCGCCCCATGGGAAATACTCTGCAAACCCAGAGCTCCATGTCTTCTCTGACCTCGCACATTCCTGCTACTTCCCCCTCGCCAGTTTCTCAACGCGGCCAGAAGCTCGGTAAGTCGAACAACATGACTCCCCTTGGCTATCGTGGAACCCCGGTCCCTGATCGTGAAGACCAAGTCGAGGTGGATTTGAACGACAGCCAAACGCTTTCTTATTACTCGGAACTTCTGCTGTTCAAGCAGGATAATGCTCGGGATTCGGTCATCTTCCCCCCCAACCTCACCCCGACCCAGCGACGCACGGTTCACACTCTGGCGCACAACATGGGTCTGGCCCATGCCTCCCGCGGCAGTGGGGATCAGCGTCAGGTCCAGGTTTTCAAGGTTGCTCCTGGCACCAACTTGAGCCCACCCTTGTCCTCGATCCCCCCTGCCGGTCAGTCCGACAACTCTCGTCGGGGCCTGAACCGGGCAGCTACCATTGACTTTAGCGAGGCTCGTAACGAAGGTGGTAATGGTGGTGGCGGTGGTGGTCCCGGCGGTTTTAACACTCTTCGTGGTGGTCAGAGCTCCAACTTCCTGGGTGTGATGGACTCGCCCGGTAACTTCGCCAACACGCAAAACCTGCGCGCCGCCAAGTCCTTCGCCGACCTGCGATCCTATACCCCGTCCCCAGTCCCTTCCTCTGCCAGCTTCCCGGCCGCTCTGCAGTCCAACGGAACTCGCATGCAGTACGAGGGAGCCCCGACCGCGACCTCCAACACCCCCACCCTCAACTCCGCCCAATCCGGCTCCTCGCTCGGTATGCAGCGGGATGATAATCTTTTGGTCAACAGCCTCGGTGGTCTGTCACTTGGTACGGGCATTGGTGGCCCAAATGCCAGCCCTCGGCGATTGCGCGGTATGTTCTCTTGGGAGGGGGACAGCCAGCCCTCGGCCGCAGGTGCCATTGGTAGCAACCGCGGAATGGGAGTTGGATTTGACAATGCCCAGCAAGAGCGCATGCCGGTTCGCCAACCTCGTGGCCCGACCCCCGAGAAGGGCACCGGTTTCCGCCGCCAAAACGGACACCAGACTCGCGGCAGTGACGAACTCCGAGCCAACTCCGGTGTCGAAATCATCGTGGAGTAGACCGTGCAAATAACCACCCGGAAAAAAATCAACTACCCCGACAAAACAAGAAAATCCAAAACAAAACAAAGAACAACAAGACGCTAGCATACCTACCTCTCCTCCTCCGATGCTGGCAAGCGACATGAATTCGACGATGGCCCAAGCCAAGTCCATTACCCCGTTCCGCTCCCCCTATTTTCTTGCCAGCATCCGACCTGATTTGCCGCGAAACGAATACGACACACATTGTATCACGAGGCCCTGTTCTGCGAAATTACCGGCTTACGATTCGATGAGGGATGACGAGATGACAAACAAAAAAAAAGACCAGAAAAATCCACTGTTTCGCTGATCTAGCCAAGTTTAGACGTTATTTTTGGGGCAGCCCAGCACTCGCCACAGTTTTCCCCGGTTGCCGAGTAAACTCTGGACTCTTTATTATATATTTTTTTCCTTTCTTCATTTTCACTTTTTTTTTTTTTCTTCTTCTATCTTCTTGATTTTCTCTACCCGCGGGCGCCCGTTTGCAAATCTCCATGGCTTGTTTTCTCTTGTGTTCCCTTCCCTCCGGAGACACTCGGAGCGGATCACGACCCTCACGCCGCTTGGTGACGCGGGACGCATACGAAGAATGACCTTCAAAAGAACCCTGCCCAATGGCAGGAGACACGACAATATCAGCATTTGCATATTCTTGCCTGTCAAGTTTCTTCCTTTCTTCTTTTTTTTTCTTTTCATCCCTTTTTCTGTCTGTACATGGGGGCGACTCGCATCCATTTAATGTTTTGGTTCGCCCTTTTCTCTTCCTTGGTTTTACCTCCTCCCACGTCTCCCCTAATGTCTCGAGTTGCTATATATCTGCAACATCAATCGGGGATGCGGGGGAGGAGTCACCAATGCTGCATCTACCTCCCTCTACTTCCCTCTCTGCTATTCAGCTTGCAGAAATCGACAGTATCTCGGGCGTCCTTTGGTGCTATCATTTTTGTCTTGATCTCAACTGGTGTATGGATGGCAATTTGATTATTCCAATGTTGTATTGAATGATTCAACTAATCTATCTCATACTTCGGCTCGATTTTGGCGAATGCTTATGTGCCCGAGTTTCCCTCGAGGGTTCTTCTCTCTTCATGTTTGGTATCCTTGCAGGTTTGGAGGATTTTTCTTTTGATTTTGTATTCAGATCTTGACAATCAATGTACCTTTTATTGCTATACTAGTACTTCCTAAGATGTAGCTCTGTCCGAAGTAGTTGCCACTGTAGGCACGGTCTAGAGTGTTCCTGTTAGGGTCCCAGAATTCCTACAATGCTCTGCCACCTCAACCGCTACTTCTTCCAGTAGGAAATTCCATTAATTTGCTTCATATGAGTAATTCTAATTTTTAACTTGACTTGAGCGATAGGTTCTTCTAATTATTATACTGTTTCAAGCATTAAAAGCAATGGCATTCATCAACATTGTCGGACGAGTGTATCGGTCGTCCTTGGTATCATATAGACTCCAACAAATTGTGCCCGCCCCCTCCTAGAGTTGTCGTTGGCTGCATCCAATTTCTAATTTTGAGGGATCTCAAACATTGCGTCGGCAAGGTCGGTGATTTCTTTGACTTCAAGCCCCTTCAGAGCTTGGATGATCTCGTCGACTGTGCTCTGGGGGAGCCCTTGCTTGTCCCAAGAGTAAAAATCCATTCCGGCGGGGGTAAAGAGTGTTTTCGCAAAATAGGTGACAGCCCATCTATTGTTCCCATCGACATGTCCAAATCCAAGACACTCCCAATGCGAACTTGCGATCTTCAGCCAGCCTTTGCCTCGCCAGTCCCAAGCGCCCGGGTTTCCTGGTGTGGGAGTATCCACTCCATTGACAGACTTAATCTTGTCAGAGCCAATGGCCTGATATTGTACAAGATCATCGATTTTTTCACCCGCAGAGTCAATCTCCTTGTAGGTGATGTTGACGTTGCGTTTGCCCTTCCATAGGGGGAGACTTGAGTGGGTCACATGCCATGTGCCCATGAGGAATTCATTTGTTGGAGGCGCACATTTCTTCGCTTGTTTGGCATATATTTGGGGACAGCCTATTTCAATAATTGATGCCATTGTTTGGAGGTGATGAGGGGATATGAGTAGAGGTGAAGAGGGGAAGTTTAAGTGATCAGCGTGAATTCCCCTGGTGCAGTGGATACTTGTCGCCTTATCTATCAGGCAAGAATGCTATCCCTTAGATTTCAATAGGAGATCAATGACCAAGTAATATAGAAGAAGTTTGTACCAGATAGTACCTAGGTATACTGGATCGTATTATGGATCGAGTGATATGAGCCACTTCAATAGTTATATGGTGCCACTTATGTGGTTAGGGTGCACCATGGTGGAATCTTAGATGGACTTGCACAATACGTAGGATCATCGTAAGAACTTTCGAATGACGAAGAAGCGCAAAGCTGGAAATTTCAAGGTTTGCTGGCCATGAACTTTTGTTCCGTTATTTACAGAGAGTGTGAAATCATCTTCACCAGATTGCACACTTTCCACCATTAGCATTGCCTCGTTTCCCCAGCCGTCCAAGGTTACAAGTCAGATAAAAGGAATAAGGCCTAAGCGCAGCTCTAGGCTAGGACAGAATCGGAGCACTGGATACACTAGGATTAGTCGAAGTGGGGTTGGAATATCCCACCCAGCTACTACCAGGTCCCCCAGTCCACCTATCACCCAAGAGGTGACTGATGCCCTCTCGGCCGAAGTCATTGGTAACCTCGAACAGCTCAGCGAAATTATAATTCAGGCTCAAGAAAATTACAAAGACGAGGTGTCTCCAATCTTGTGGCACGACGAGCTAGGCCATTTACGTGTTTGGGTGGCTAATATCGGGACACAAGAAACTGGGACGCTGTTTTCATTGGACCATCGGCTACGTGATGCTTCACATTTAAAAACACAAACCTTGCGGCTTTTAGGCCGCCTTCGAAGGATAATCGATGATATCCAGACAGCTTGTTGCGATCAAAGCTACGTTCTCTCATTTCCAGGGGAAGAATATTCAGAAGATGAAGAGGAGGGCGAAGAGGTCAAGTCAGAGATATGATAGCTGGTTGACATGGTAGTTAGCTAAACTATCACATCTCCGTCTCCTTGAGCATGTACCCTACATCCATAAAAAATTATAAGTTCATCTCGCTATTATATTAAAAGTATAAGATGTTAAGGGAGGAGAAGTAGATGGAGATGAGAAAATGTGTAGATTATGAAGACAAAGGAGGGAGGTTGATATAGGTCGATCTGGAGCTGCCTGGGGCATCACATCAACATACTAGTCGTAAATTCCAGCAAAATAGTCATCTCTTTGTTTGCACAGGAGTTATTAGTAATTTATAATATTTTTATTCCCAGATGGCATGGCTTCGGTAGTTCGGCAGTTGTATAGTAGAGTGGGGGCTAAGAAGTCAACTCGATTTCACCCGGAAATGCGGAGAACCCCAACTTCTCTCCACCTTGCATCCTGGCTACATTGACGCACCGCAATTCGCTACAAACATGCCACAGACAACAGCACCCCGAGCCTCACGGTCTGTCTCGGGGTGTCTGACCTGCCGCCGGCGTAAAGTCAAGTGCACTTCTCGCTCCTCTCCATGCGAGCCTTGCACCCGCCTTCGCCTATCCTGTATCGCCTCTTTCCAGGAAAACATCAGAGTTTGGTCAGCATCCGGAGGTTTGAGACCAAAGAATACGACTAAAACGAGACATACGAAGCAATCAATCAACACAGCCTCCAGCCATGACCTGTTTCCAGACGACAGCCAAGTCGATCAAGCAGCATCACCGGGCCTGGCTGAAGATTGTTCTCCCAGAAACGCCATCTACGACTTTTTGGAGAGGAGAACATCTCCGGCCAACATCAACCGTTCAGGTGGCTCCGTTCAAACAAATGTGGCTACTGGGTCGATCAAAAATTCCATTTGTGAAGATGTTCCAGAGGGCAATAATGATCTAGCTCTTAGTGTGTCGAGACAGTCAGCATCTGACCCAAGCCCCATTGATTCCTGGATAGCATTTGGCTCGTCACTGCCACCTTACTCGCCTATTTTCAGTTCTCTACCCGTCGATGATGGCCTGTCGGGTATACTGAGTACATTACCAGGTCAAAATTGGGACATCGCCACTTGGACTCAGTATATGAACCGTGTTCCAGAGTGGCTTTCAACCAAAAGGTCAATGTGGAGCTGTTATCACTATCTCATCAACCTGGCGCAAGCAATTCCCGACTCGCCACTTTTTCACGGCATTCTAAGCTGGACATATGCCTATTTGTTCCGCTTGGGGCTAGTGTCCCCGATCCCTCAAGGCTCAAACATTACATGACTGCGTCAGACTCAATTCAGCTATTATCGAGAGAAACCAGCGACGGCCCCGTATATCTCAATTTACTTGTCATCAACCCCTCTGATCGACTTTCTCAATACATTTCCACGACATTCTTCCTTTGTCAGCATGATCTCATCGTGGGAGATTTCGACTCCTTTAAGACACGAATCAATGATGTGAAACAGACCTTCATAGACCGTTGGAGGAGACAAATTTTGCCTGGGGCCATAGAATCCCGCATCATAATATGGTTGGCTTTCATGGAATTACGATATCTTTTAATGGCAGGGACGATACGAATACTGGAGAAAATCCAAAGGATTTGATGGCCGTGCTGATGGAACTCGGGGCTATTCCGGCACTACGTGGAGCTCGGCGGCAGCAATCCTATCTCATCGAATGCTTCGGAAATGGTCTTCCAAGTGAGGAAAATGATGAGGATCTCCGAAAAGAACGATGCCGTGAGAAATTCGACGCCATCTTCGCGTATCTCAGCAAAGTACGCTCATTCAGGGCTTGGGATCAGAGCGCAAAATTGCGAATGGCTGCAGAGCCGTTGATTGAAGAGTTACGTGAAGCAAAGATAGATGCGCTGCGCGCAGATCTTGGGCGTATTCATGCGGTAAGTTTCCCCAGAATATCTCTACCAGGATGATTCTTACGATATTTTAGGAGTGCAAATTGGTGGTTGCTTCCCAAGAACTACCTAGCACTGTGTTTGAAAACTTCGATAGTGGGATATTTGCTATCCTGACTGTCAAAGCACTTTCTCTCTCTGCCACGGTCATGCTCAACCAAACAATTGGCCGCAATCTGCGAACAGATGAACAAACACAATCAGCGGCGCATGAGCTGATCCAAATTTCCCGAATATTTAGAAAGTCCCAACGCCTTGTTTCGCCTTGCTCGACTATTTGGCCCCTTCCAATTTTCTTCGCTGGGATTGGGGTCACCGATGAGATTTACCAGGATTGGGCTTTGGATTATATGAAAGAGCTTGAACATTGGGGAGCCCATGTCGTCAAAGCCAAGGATACCATGGACCAGTTTATTAGGATGCAAACCAAAGATGGCGACAGAGTAAATATTAGAAATTTCTTATGAATATATTGAATTGAGAGGCATGCAATGATTTTCTTTGCGCAACAGAGTTTCAGCATCAACGCCTAATCTATCCAAGTTGGTTGGAACCAATCTCATGGCACTTCTGGTCGCTCAATTCCTTCTCCATATTTCTTCCGTTCAAAACCGATCGAGTTCCTTGGGCCACCAAGGCTAAATGTTTTGAAATGACCCTGACAGGGAGGGCCTTTGCAGGTCGTGATAGTGCGTTGAGAGAGATTGTAAATGACACAAGTGACGGTGGCAGTCGTTCCTCTGAATGGATAACCAGGAAGATCCCCAATCACTCTGTCAAGCAGATCCTTGTCTGGATGACAGCACAAGGCTTCAGGATAACTCAAGTGGTCCGAAAATGCCTTTATAAGCTGCTCAGTAGTCAACAGACCCTTTGTGTACGGTCGAACTCCTTGTTCTAGGCGCTGTCGACGGAACCAACTGCTACCACCAGGATATCTGTCATAGACATCATCGCGAGAAAGGAATGACTTTTCTGTGAAGTGGTTCGTATGAATCAAGTAGCTATCGTCGATATCACAGTACACCTTGTAGACTCTGCTTGGCGTGATCTCTAAACACATGCCAAATCCCTCAGCTGTAGCAAGCGTGAGGTTGTTTGAGACGTGGCGCGGAAATTGCTGTATGGCAGTGAACGCCTCTGAAATGTGACTGCATTCCAATACCATGCGGCGGAGAAGAGAAATCGGCATGACTGCCTTGTCGTCGGCTTTTTGGTCTGGCGAATAATCCTCGGTCGACATGAGAGAATTGGCAGTAACTCCAATGCCAAGAGAGTTCATACCGGAGCGACCAAGCTGACCAGCCTCGGTCACCAAAAAGAGCGATGGCTTACCCTCTGACGGATCCGGATGGACCTCAAGGTAGATAATGGCGTCCGTCAGCCAAAGACGTGCGGACATATCCCAATTTTGAGCGTTCAAGACATCGCCAGATGCAGTGGTCTCTTTGAGGAAGAATGAGCTTGTGCATTCATTTGCCTGCTCATACTCTCTGTACAGTGTATGTCCGTTCGAATTCAAGGTACCTTTCACGTCCTCGGCGGGCCTGTTGAGTCGGGCAAGGTCGTATCGCGCGTTTAGAAGAACGATGTCTTCCAGAGAAACGGAAGCTCCGTCTGCGATGCCCTTCATTTCTTCCAGGCCAGCGGGATAATGTGCTTCGATATTCGGGATATAAAGATTCTTAATGATCATGTGCATCACATCGCTACATAACGGAATGTCAGTTATGCTTCATGGCGGAAATTTTCGTAACACATACCGCTCAGCTAGCTTTCCCGGTTGTTTGTAGTATTCAACATTGGCTTGGACCTTGTCTTTGGCTTGTTGACCATGCGATAAGCCCCGGTCGTATGGCAGACCGCGGACAACGACATGTTGATAGGAATGCTTATCCTCTGCGTTGATTCTCATTTTTAATATCTAGTTGTGTCCTAGAAGTTCAATTGTACAATCAACCAAGCGAAACTCTCAGGCTTTATAAACTCTTGGCCCTTTACCTTTCTCGAATGGAAAGTCAATATCTCGGCTCGAATCGGAGTTTCTCTTTCAGGAGTACTTACCGACGGCCATAATCGCTTTCTAGGCCTGTTTATCATATGACATCTAATGAATATCAGCCAATTTTTGTTGGGCCGGACTACGATATTCTCTTATCTTGGCCGTCGTCGCCATTATTACCCGATTAGGTGCTGTTAGCGACCATCTCATGGGTCCGCCAATGGCACCGACTTGTGAGGCCGTCAAGTCCCCACTCTTCTATGCACTCCGCATTCTATCAAATGTGCGGGGATATGCTTTTGAACAGCTGACTTGATAACACATGGCAGTATAAAATACAGATTCCCATCGCTGGGAGCTAATATGCAAGTTCCGGCGAAATTAGGCACAATATCTTGACACCATGGCCGAGAAGAATAACGAGACGGGCGAGTCTCGTCGCATCTCCGAAGTGAAACAGACTCTCAATCAAGGCCAGGATGACGCGATAGAGATACTCGCCAACGATGGCGATGTCTTTGAGTACGACGATAGCGAGGCGCGAATGGTTCGCTGGAAGTTTGATCTGATTTTGCTCCCCATGGTAAGGCTTGATCGACCTGATCGATCTGATCCATCAGGCCCAATGTCCACTTGATTCAGTGGGTGGACGCCAGCTCCTGTCGATTTTCACATTGATCGCGCGGGATGAACCCCACCCAAAATTATTGCGCCTAGCTAATAAATCCTTCCATCTATAGATGGCCATGACTTATATTCTATCCTTCATGGACAAAACTGCCTTATCTGAAGCCTCTATATTTGGCATCCAAGAAAGTAATGTACGTGCATTCAAGTGTATACTCTGAGCTCTACATGATCGAGATCTCTTGTCGCTCATATTTGGCTAACCACGATTTATCAACAGCATTTAATCGGGCAGCAATATAGCTGGGCCAATTCCATATTTTACTTCGGCTATCTATTTGCACAATACCCAAGTTCAATTTTGATGCAAAAGCTACCTATCGGAAAGTACTTCGGCATTATGATTATCCTTTGGGGTGTGGCAACGACTTGCACCGTTGCGAGCCAGAACTTTGCAGCTCTAGCCGTTTGTCGATTCTTCCTGGGTGCCTTCGAGACATGTATTTCGCCAGTTCTTACGATCCTCGTTGGTCAATACTGGACTCGAAAAGAGCAACCTCTCCGAGCTTCAATTTGGTGGGCTGGTGGAGCTGTTGGCGGATTCATTGCGGATTCCATCACTTATGCTGTCTCTGGGGGTGCACTCAAACATTCGAAATATGAGACATGGCAGGTGAGGCTTCCGGTGACCCTTATGTGAGAAAAAAGAGCTAAAATGAATTTGTTTAGATTGTTTTTCTGGTCTTCGGCCCCGTCACTATTGCATGGGGATTTTTCCTTTACTTTCTCATGCCGACGTCTCCGATGACGGCATGGTTTCTCACAGAGCGCGAACGAAAGATTAGTGTGATTCGAGTAAGTTTGAATCTTAATAGGCTAAAGAAACCTGATCACCACCCCGTCGAGGGATCCTCGAGTCGTGAAGAAAAGAGCAACATACGTGAACGTTCACCAACTAATATAACACTCTTAGGTCGCACAAAACCACACCGGTATCGAAAACAGACAATATAAGCTCTACCAAGCCAAAGAGGCTCTTCTCGATGTCCAAGTGTGGATGCTATGCGCTCAGGCATTTTTACAGTGTATCCCCGGTGGGGGCCTAACAGCCGTGAGTTTTCTTTTGGATCTCATAATATTATTGTATTAGCTGACAACGTTGTCGTAGTTTTCAAAGCTCATTATTCGGGGCATGGGATACTCAGATCGCGAGTCTGTTGTCATGTCTATGCCCTCAAATGCAGTTCAACTAGCTTCCAACGTAGTAGCCGGTACCGTCTCACAGCTACTGCCAAACTCTAGATGTGCAATGATGATTTCAGCAAACGCAATTGTGTTGATAGGAAGTGCTTTGGTCGAGAGTATGTCCCATTCCCGATCAATTGAAACCAAGGGGAGATCATTTGCTAACCGCGACCCGTGTTGCTCATCAGCATTACCTACTTCGAAGGGCCTCGGAGCTTTCTATAGTATGTTTCGAATTGCGATAACCTCTAATTATTTCCCAATTAAAATCTTCCCAGTCACATTTGTCAATACTGTCCCATACATTATGTGTATGAGCTTGATATCATCGAATATTGGCGGTTTCACCAAGAAAACCACAACCGGGGTGGGTCTACACCAAAACATCCATTCAAAGGCCTTCTGCTCGTGTTGGGATCTTGCTAACTATATTTAGGTAATGATGTTCATGTCTTACAGCGTGGGTCAGATTGTGGCTCCGCAGTTCTTCCTAACCCGAGAAGCTCCACGGTACCCAACAGGATTCCGCGCATTCTATGTGAGCGTGGCACTGATGATCGTGATTGAAATTGCCATGATGTATGTCTCTGACAAGTAGCTGGCATTGATATAGGGGAATGGAAAGCTAACCAACATGTTGTTGCAGTGTCTATCTCTGGAGACGGAATATCAAGAAAGAACGAGAGGCCACCAGCATTACGAACGAGGCATCGAGATTCTCCTTTGCAGATTTTCAGGATTTGACCGACAAAGAACACCCCGATTTTCGATATGTGTTTTGAGAAGCTATCATAGATGTTCACCCAAACAGTAAATATCGGGAACAGCGTCTGTATCGATAGAGAGCGTGGATATCGGCATGCAAGGCCTGAGGGTCTGAGATCTGCTCTACTCATCATTTTCCGAATGGGAGAGTCAGATGTCCTTCAATTTGGAACATTGGAAGTTAAAGATCATGATGCTCTTGTAAATTTTCAAAACATGGTGGTGCATACCTAGGTTTTAATAGTAGTTACTAGTAGTACTAGTATATATTGTGATAAGACTCGGAGTAACCCGAGTCACGGTATAAACTTGAACTTTTCCGTCACAGTACTAAATTAACGTACCATTTCTGTACTCGTCGAAGTATACTACTCAATAGCAAAAATAGTAGTACTAGTATCTAAACATTTTTATCTCAAAGGACGCCAAGTACTACTAATATAACCGTTGTTTCGGGTTCAAGTTCAAGCATGTTTATTGTTTATCTCGGCATGTCCCTGTCGATCCCCCATATGCACGCCAAGACCAGCCCACTTGCGCATGAGGGGGACTGAAACTTGATACCAGTAACCTCAGGCCGAAGATGTACATACTAGTATTGTAGTAAACTCATTCTCACCATCAGGTGCGCTCCGGAGAAAGTAGCAGGTTGTATACTTATAACTAAGATCGAGCTATCAAAGCAACGCGACAACTTGCGACACGCGCCCGGGGGATTTCGCCAAGGCAACCGATGGTCGCGAAGAATGCGACTGTAAACGCAAATATCCCGACGGGGATACTTCGGAGTATTTGAGATCAGATAATTACGACTCTTTGACGATGGGCGACTTTCACAGTACGAATTGAGACGAGTATAGCTCATTGGAACAGTAGTTTAATTCCCAGACTATCAGGATATCCCCCATTTTCCCATTACAGCGCCCGTAAACTCGAAATCAAAATGGAAGCAACAAGCAAGAGAAAAAAATAGTAGAAAAAAAAAACCGGGGAATAGACACAATACATCAAAAGTTGCACGCCGTGAACGAAATCAAAAAAGAAGGGGTGGAGGAATATAGTTGGCGAAGAGAGGAGAGGAGAGGAGAACAGAAGAGACTCCGACCCTTCAATCCCGATCATAGTACCGGTCACTCATTTTCGAATAATTTCCCACATTCAAAGCTCAGGCTTGCCCTTCTTCTTTTGCTCCACCTTCAGCAGCAGCGCGCGGTTGATGCGGGGCAGGACACCACCGAAGGCGATGGTTGCGCGGATGAGGGTGTCCAACTCTTCGTCACCACGGATAGCGAGCTGCAGGTGGCGCGGCGTGATACGCTTGACCTTCAGGTCCTTGGCGGCGTTTCCGGCCAATTCCAGAACTTCGGCAGTCAGATACTCGAGGACAGCTGTCACGTAGACGGCGGCTGCGAAAGGGTTAGCTTTGGTGAGGCCTCATCGAGGGAAGGAGGTCCAGAACATACCCTTGGCACCAACGCGCATCTTATTCTGGGTGTTGTTCTTCAAGAAACGCTTGACACGACCACAGGGGAACTAGACGAGAGGGAGAACGAGTGTCAGTAACCGGGTAAACATGTCGCAGAGGGACTCTGAAGCGCGAGCAGAGAGGCTAGGATCGAGAAGGACATGCGACAAGGTGGCACGAGGTTGAGAATCACTCGTATGATGCTGAGCCGACCGGGGAGTGAGGGGGAGCCAGAAACGACGCGTCTTTTAACATCGACATTGATCAAGGTGTAGAACCCCCCTCTCCCCTCTTCCCCTCCATCGGCCCCGATCGCACATCCCTTTCCACACGAGAATCGATCTGGTCTAATCTGCCACAATGGGAATAGACACTAACCTGCAAACCAGCCTTAGCGCTGTGAGACTTCTGGGCCTTCCCCGCAGAGTCCTTGGAACCACCCTTTCCACCGATAGACTTTCCCTTTCCGCCAGGCATCTTGAGAGGAATATGATCGCACGAACGCGGGTGTCGCGAGGGTAGAGTATATCAGGCGATCGAACACGAGAGTGGATGAAGAAGCGATTCAGAAAGCGGGTAGGCACGCGCGTTGTTGATGGATGGAGAAGTCAGAAATGTCCCAGCAAGCCGGTCGCTAAAGACGGCCCGACGCTAATCCGAATGCGGAAATATCCATCTCAAGGTTGCCCAGGCTCACTTTCGGGAGGGAGACGACGAGGAGCCATGGGTTCTCAGTAGATGAGTGTCGTTAATTTGGAGCTGTTGATATTAAATGATGAAATGCTCTTGACAGACAGACTGCCCCGGTACTGTAGAGGTAGTAGCCGTTGCGAGTAACTTGTGTGGACATGCTCATCACCATGTTCATTCCGGATGGCTGCAGCTCAGGTGGCTGGCAGTGGCGGTTAAACGTGCTTTCATGGTGGATTGCAAGATGCCAGGAATCCACTGCCGAGAGTTTCTTGGCTGAGATAGGTCGGTATGGACTGGTTGAGGATTCAATGTGTAATCCGTAGTTCGATGTGTTCGTGGAGGCGGAGGAGGGCCCCATCTCTCCCGGAAGCGACGGCCAACGGTTCTTCCGAGCCGAGCGGCCACCCTGGAGATTCGATTCGAATCTGTTCCTTTCGTGTTTGTCCCTCCCCCCCAATTCATCTATCTCCCCCGTCCCATTTCGGTTTTAAAGGTCAAAAGGGTTCTTATCGACAATATGGTTTCCCCTCAGATGTGAGTAGTATCTTAATTTCGCTGGATGGGATTCTCGTCGATGCCGATGCTAATACAACTCGCGCAGTACCAACCTGGCCATCATCCTGGCGATGATGCAGCTAGCCAAGAAGGTTCCCTTCGAGGATCCCCAGGTGCTGATGCTCGTCCGCGGCATGTACATTCTGTCCAACGTGATCATTCTGGGCATCTACCTCTACACTCAAGCGAAGATCAATGGCAAGAAAGGTATGTGGGTCTGGAGTCTCTCCGGCGCGAACCCCGTATAACTAACTGCGCGCGTGTGCGTCTATAGACATGACTACTCTCAAGTACGTTGAGCCTGCCACCATGGGCAGCGGCGAGGAGGCCAAGCCCGTCACCACCACCAACATGGACTACGACAAGGGTCAGCTCCGTCAGTTGATGCGCAGCCAGCTGATGGGCGTCGGCATGATGGGTGTGATGCACCTGTACATGAAGTACACCAACCCCCTCCTCATCCAGTCGATCATCCCCCTGAAGGGCGCCTTCGAGTCCAACCTGGTCAAGATCCACCTCTTCGGCAAGCCCGCGACTGGCGACCTTGCCCGTCCCTTCAAGAGCGGCGGCGGCTTCATGTCCCAGGGTGCCCCCAAGAGCGACAAGGCCTCGATCGAGGAAGCGGAGAAGAACTACCGCGGTGGTGTCAAGGAGGAGTAAACAAAGGCGTTCGCCTGAACATTACTTTGTGCAATGTGATACGCATTGCTTGACTCAGGGGGTTGGCTCTGCGGAAATAGACTGATGGGCATAATTGATTCCAATGGTTGTTACCATGATATTTACCATGGAATAAGCCTGAGCCGGGCATCCGATGCCAGTATTAGCTTCTTCGTTGTATTATAGTCATGTCCAATTGATGGATTCCCTATTACTATTACTATTATTATGAACCATTAGTATTGCCTATTAGTATTACCTATTGTCCTTGTAGTCTCCCGAGTATGGTGTTCTGCCGGTGCCAGTAATTTGGTGTGGTGTTGTTGCAGTCCCGTCTACCCGCTTCCATCTCCTTCTATGTACTATGATTCCAAATTGGCCACCGGTGTCATTGTGGCGATGGCAAGCTGATTGATCAGATTGTAGTCCTTGGGTGTATTTATGGACTCGGAGGTGTTGATATGAGTCAATTGTGTTCCAATGGTAGTTTGAGAAGGGATGTACTATGGTCAGACTGATCAGACTGATCAGGTGGGCGGGATTTATAATCCAGACAATGCGACCCCGGTTATGTTCAGGGCTGAAGAAAGAGCATACCTAGGTAGCTCTTGAGCTACTCCACAAAAGGACTCAAAGCCACTGGCAGACATGGGAACCTTGGAATCGTGGGTCAAGTGCCGGTGAATGTATCAGGCGCGGGCCAGCTGGTTGTTTTTATACCGCAGTGCCAGAAGGGGGAGGCTCCATGCCGAATTGGTCCACCGCAGAAACGCCCGTCCATTTAGAGGCTAGCTGGGAGGTACAGTATAGGAAAGAGATAAAAATATATAATATAATAAATATAATAACAATATATATCAGAATATTTATATAAAATAATTATTATCGAATAATGTTCCATCTAGAGACTGTGTGCTGCGAAGGATGTACCTTTTCATACAAATTAGTACTCAAAGGTACATCCTCAGTCATGATGCCACGACTGCCCCTCCACTTCTTCCACTCCCCTCCACTTCAACCCCTCCATACCCCTCCATCCCCCCATTACTCAACGCCTTCCCCCTACTCCAACCCGTCTCGGCACACCTACAGGTCCGAATTATCGTAGAGACCGTGATAGTCCCCCTTCTCCCCGATGGCAAAGTGTTTTGCAGCGTCATCTCCGAGGCAATTCGTAGCTTAGAGCCGGAACCGGGCCCAATCTCGGCCACCTCATTGGTAGAACGGGAGCTACCGAGGGGCAGAGTAGGCGCAGATATCGTGACTCTTCCTGCTTTGCCCGGTGTATGAAACCGGAAAGGAGGGTCCCTGCTAGAACCGGGCGGCAACAGTCGGGAAACATTCGATCTGGGGGAGTGTTCCACTTGGAGAGTTACGTTGGTTGAGTTGGTTGCTCGGTGTAGACTTCTGTAGGGGTGATCGCCTCTTTGCGTCAGCCATCCGGAATTTGATTATTTTACTATTACTACTCCTCCTTCCCCCCTCCTCCTCCTTCTTCTCTTTTCTTTCTTCCCTCATCCACTCTCCTCTTTCAATCACTTCCCCAAAAGGTATGTTCCCATCTATCTTCTATCATCTCCATCCATCCCCATCCTTACCTCTCGATTGATTTCTTCTTGCTCACAGCTTCTCAGTTTTAACTACCGCAATCATGGTCCCCAAGGTACGCCCGGCTTGATCATCACCATCCATCGCCACCATAACTCACCATTCTCCAGGTTGGTATCAACGGATTTGGCCGTATCGGCCGCATTGTAAGTTCTTCTGTTTCCCAATTTCATCTACATCAGAGCTCCAAGCTAACCCCTCGCAGGTCTTCCGCAATGCGTGAGTAGTGCCCCTCTATATTACCCCCATATCGCGTGGCACAACCTCCCATTCTAACTGTTTCACAGCATCAACCACGGTGGTGTTGACGTTGTCGCCGTTAACGACCCCTTCATTGAGGTCCACTACGCTGTAAGCTTGATCTCCTGGTTTTTTTGGTGGCGGGGTCGTATTGGGTCTGCATCAGCCCACTTGTGCCCCGCCCCGCAGCAAGCTCCTGCTTCCACACAATATACTAACCTGCCCACCTTTCCCCCTTCTAGGCCTACATGCTCAAGTATGACAGCACCCACGGCCAGTTCAAGGGCACCATCGAGATCGATGGCACCAACGGCCTGATCGTCAACGGCAAGAAGATCCGCTTCTACGCCGAGCGTGACCCCGCTTCCATCCCCTGGGCTGAGACCGGCGCCGCCTACGTCGTCGAGTCCACCGGTGTTTTCACTACCACCGAAAAGGCCTCCGCTCACTTGAAGGGTGGTGCCAAGAAGGTCATCATCTCCGCCCCCTCGGCCGATGCCCCCATGTTCGTCATGGGTGTCAACAACGACTCCTACAAGACCGACGTCAACGTCCTCTCCAACGCCTCTTGCACCACCAACTGCCTGGCTCCCCTCGCCAAGGTCATCAACGACAAGTTCGGTCTCGTTGAGGGTCTCATGACCACCATCCACTCCTACACCGCTACCCAGAAGACCGTTGACGGTCCCTCCGCTAAGGACTGGCGTGGTGGCCGCACTGCGGCCCAGAACATCATCCCCTCCTCCACCGGTGCCGCCAAGGCTGTCGGCAAGGTCATCCCCGCCCTGAACGGCAAGCTGACCGGTATGGCCATGCGTGTCCCCACCGCCAACGTCTCCGTTGTCGACCTGACCTGCCGTATCGAGAAGGCCGCCACCTACGAGGAGATCAAGGCCACCATCAAGGCCGCCTCCGAGGGCGAGCTCAAGGGCATCCTCGGCTACACCGAGGACGAGATTGTCTCCACCGACCTGAACGGTGACGACCACTCCTCCATCTTCGATGCCAAGGCTGGTATTGCCCTGAACCCCAACTTCATCAAGCTGGTCTCCTGGTACGACAACGAGTGGGGTTACTCCCACCGTGTCGTTGACCTGATCGCCTACATCGCCAAGGTCGATGGCCAGTAGGAATCAGGACGGCGTCCTGGGGCCAGGAGTCTTCTCTAAAGGATGAATTCTGTTATGTGAACCCAAATGGGGATTGCTGATGGGCTTCGCCCTGTAGAAAAAATCCGATAACGTCAATTTAATGAAACCAAATACAATTCTTCATGTTTATGATTATCCATCGAGTTGAAGCCAACACGTAGGAGTTGATTGTGTAATTGTTGCTGTAGCAATTGAGATGGTACTACTAGTATCCTCCAGGTTCAAGTTTTCAAGACTGATAGCCAATCTGGGCAGTGGTAGTGGCATGAGTCCAGGTGTATGATCAAATCTAATTAGTATCCATGGATACGAGTACGAATCTGACCTTAACAAACATCCCTCTTCCTACAAGGTAACTTGCATTGGGAGATTGGGAGATCCCAGAGGATTCCGAGGTCGATCGATGGGTGTGTGTAGGAGAGAGAAAGGGAAGACTTGAAGTAAGTGAACATACCTACAGAGTTACTCTTAGGCTACTATATGCTGCATACTTAGCACACTAACGTACCTATCGACACGCTGACTACCCCGGCTGTGCGGTCCACACAATTTGTTCGCATAGCTTTACTGCCCGCAATAGCAAATTTCATCAATTGGCATACACTTGTCATTCATGTACGAGTATACAATACACTGCCTAGCTCAAGTATATCAGAGCCCCTGCGGTTAAGAGCACAATTCTCGTTTCATATTACAGATACCCAGCCAATATATCCCCCTCCTATTGCCTCTTTTTGTATAAGCACTCGGCTGTTTGAGTCCTGCAAAATCACAACGCAGCGCTAATGCACGCTAAAGGGTATCCAATGGACTGACCAGAAAGTATACATACGCACCACGCAGCAACTACAGTGGCGTTGCAAATTTTTGAAACCCCTGAAAGTTGACTCGGACTGTTCTCATATCCGCCTTCCAATAGCAGACTAGTAGCTACCTAAGATGGAATAGAGCAGCCAATCTATCCATTCCATCCTAAGTAGCTATCAGTTTCCCATTAGAAGACGGTCAATAATGGTGGGCAATGTGGGGTTTCAAACTTTTACGACGTCACTATAGGTCACTAGATCGAAAATCCTGAAGCCAGAACATACTATTTTCTTTTCTTTCTTTGAGATCTCTTTTAATTTACAGCGTAAACTAACCATCTAACTAACTCTCATTGAGAGTCAAGTGTAAACATTCCTTTTCCTCTTTTTGTCAGAAGCTCTTGTCGTAAACCATCGTCTTTGAAACCCTCGAATTTCTTCAAGGGAATAACCCTCTAGGATATCCACAAGAGAGTTTATTTTTTTCACATTACATTCCCCTGACGCAATAAGCCAGCAATGGAAATTTCCCAGAGCATCTTGACCATGGATAGAAACGCCTAGCCGGCTGGCAGGATCAGTCGGTAAGGCCCAAGCAGCATATGGGTATGGATGTGCTGTCGGGACTAAGTGGTATTTGAGGAGGACCTCGTCACCATCTTCAAGATTGAGCCCAAACTGGTGTGAGATCGTGAATCTAAAATCCCCGGCCCGGGCTTCAGTTTGATGATCTCCATGCTTCCCGGGGTAGACTCTGACAGCTACCTTGACCCCTTCGAGATATTCCTTGGCAGCCTTAGACTTTTTTATACTCTGAGCTTGCTGCGATTTTGAGATGCGCTCCTTATGAAGATCCCACCAGTATTTTCTGATTGCTGGGTCAGGTGAGTTTCGTATGTCATTAAATGCATCTCTAGCGTGCTCCGCCCATTTGCGAATTGTCAAGTCCTGAGATGCAAGGTACTGTTGAAAAGTCAATCTGCCGCCGATTGCCTCCATTATAGCTTGGTTTCCCTGTGTGTCCGTGAATCCTTGCCATAACGGGAGAGCAACATTGAGATGATTTCCTCACCACATAGAGCTTGCGTTCCCCGGAAGCCAATGACTCAAGTGAAGAGAGGTTAGTGTCTGGAAAATCAAACACATCCACATCTCTGTAAGGTTCAGAACAAGTTGTGTTTGGGGGCATAAGGAGGCGGTAATGGTGGCCAGTGTCACGAAAGCTGACTTCATATCAGGATGGGAGCCCCAGACTGTATAATGTAGACCTGGATTTTTCCATCGATGCTTTGGGTCATTGTGTTTCTCGATTCTGAACTGTAGAACCCTGCCTGGCCAACATAGAGCCAAAATCTGGTGCAAGTGTCATCTTCCCTCCACAATATATGAAGGTAAACCCCCGCTCCCCTTTTGCATTCCGGGTTGTCTCCGATTTCTAAAATACTAAGATTGTTTGTTAGCAACTTAATTCTAGCCTGAGAATCTTAGCGTACCTGGTAAGATCAAATTTCCCCTGTTCACAAATTTCTTTCACAACTGAGCTTAGGCTTTCTTCAAGCCAATTTTCCACGTCGAAATTTCCGAGAAGCGATCCATATCTGTCACCCATGTCTTGACGCACTTTCGCAAGCATATGCTTCAAAATAGAAGTCCGGTCGACTGATCCAAGACTCAGGGTCTCAATTTTATTGCCAGCCACCTTGTTCCATTCATTCCGTCGCTTCACATATCGAGAATCTTCCTCCTGTGTATCATGCACCAAGGTTTCGCTCTGGAATGTATTTCCCGTATGTGGAATCTCCATGGTTTGTATCGCACATCCTTGAACCGAATTCTGAGAAACCCCCGCTGATCAGCATAAGTCTGGTTCCAAAACTTGACGGGGTACTTACTTTGAGATCATTGGTAGCCTCCTCTTCCTCCTCCTCAGGAATAGGCTCTGGGCTATGACGTCTGCAGTTTGCGAACAGACGGTTGCTTCCCCCCCTGCAATATCTTGAGGTATGCCCGAAATTACCACAGGTCCGGCAAAATCTGCAGAGACATTCCTCGTAGTTTTCGATTCGGCATCTGCAGCCCTCATAATCAGGAGACATTTTGAATGTGAAAGATGAAGTAACTGTGGCTAATTTTGGCGGGCGATACCGAGCTGAGTAGATTCGAAATGATGGCCAGTGGTAGACACAGAGAAAGATATTAACGACGCTCAGACAGAAGCAGTAAAGATGACAGGGATCAGAGAGAGTGTGAATGGTGTAGGCGAGGGACAGATGACTAGGTTGCGAACTACTTGAAAGGAAGGTGCGGAGGCCGGTAGCCGACAAGAAGTAAACAGTGAAACAGTGAATACACACCAAACAATCGAATCCCGAAGGATACGAGCGGTATTGAGACATTTTCCCGGCTCGCCATATGTCCATATTCTAGGTTGGTATATGGTAAAAGGTTTATGGGGGTTACTCCTACAACTTTAGAACTGCTGATGTGACGAGTCTGTTGATATGTACTGCAGCTTTGTTGTCTTGCTACCCCTCCCCTTCCGAGAATGTTCAGTTACTCACAGAACAAGATACGACGTAGCGATCAGGCAATGAAGTAGTAGCGGTTCGACAAAAGGAATAGCTTGAGGAGAAGAAGAAGAAGGAGGAAGCTGAGATGGAACTAGAGTGTAGGCATGGATGCCTAAGAGTATGCCGCAGGCGTAAGGCATCCACGAATGGAAACAACACCAGTTCGTTACACGCGCAAGGCTTGAACAGTGGTGACAACCTAATCCGTTACACCCCTTATTGAAGCTATTATGCATTTATAGATTGCTCGATCCAAATCCTTTAGGATGCTAAGTATGTGATTAGATGGCATGTGATATCGACACATCTGATGTTAACTACTGAATAGAGGGAGCAGACAAGCAGAAGGCGTTAATAGAACAAGAACACGAACTAGAGTTGTTGCCCCATTGTTGTGGATGCCTTACGCTTATGACATCCACTTAGCCACGCCTGCACCTGTATCTAGTTTCTGTCTCAGCTTCTTTCTTCCTCAAGCTATTACTTTCGTCGAATCGCTACTTCTACCTTTGCCCGATAGCTATGTCGTACCCTGATCTCTGTAAGTATCTAAGCATCCTCGCGGTGTATCCAATATATGATGACTTAGCATAGTGCCTGAGCCATGGGGCGAAGGATAATCTACGCTCGGATACGTTGAGTAGGTTTATTGGCTTTGACTATGGAGGTTTCAAGGATAGAGAGTGAAAGTGAGCATTGGAAGTGGAAGGAGGCACTAACTAGCAGCGGAGATTCTAGCAGCGGAGATCCTAGCTTATGAGGGGAGAGCAGAAAAATCATGTAATCATGATTGACAGAATCCATACAGAGTATCTGTAGTTTGTTCTCCTTTATTACGGGTAGTTACTTTCAGTTCTTAGTCAGGTAATTGATACAAAATCTGTAAAGTGGTGCTCTAAAAGTTTAAAAAACACCCTGTTGCCCAAACCGCCTGCTAACTACCTGCTAACTAGTTAATAGACCAGTAGCTACCAAAGTTAGTAGACTGGCTGATCTATTCTATATTAGGTAGCTATTAGTCTGCTACTAGCAGGCGGAGACTAGGGCGGTCAGCACAGTTTAAATTTTGGAGCGCCACTGTCTTGTAGAGGCAGAGTAAGAAAAATTTAAAAAAAATAAAGAAAGGATAGCATGTCCTGGTTTCGATCCAGGGTCCTAGTGATTGTTAGTTATAAATTCTTATAGTATTTATATTGGTTTTGACGTACCTCCGGGTTATGAGCCCGGCGCTCTTCCCCTGAGCTAACATGCTTGCAAAGTTAAAGTTTTAAAAATATTTGTACCTATTAAGCTAGAGTTATCCATAAACGCAAAAAGTTTGAAAATAATATCAGGATTATTAAGGTATATTAGAGAAGCTTTTTACTCTATCCTATTATAATAATTCACTGCTATTAAGAAGAAGAGAGGGACAAAGAGAGAGAGAGAGAGAGAGAGAGAAAGAAAAAAAAGAAAGGATAGCATGTCCTGGTTTCGATCCAGGGTCCTAGTGATTGTTAGTTTTAAGTTCATATAGTAATGAATATTGGTTCTGACGTACCTCCGGGTTATGAGCCCGGCGCTCTTCCCCTGAGCTAACATGCTTTCTAAGTTAAAAATTTTTAAATATTTATTCATATAAGGACAGATTAGTTACAGGAGCTAAAAAAGTAAAACAATATTAGAATTAGTTTTAAGATATACTAGTGATTTTAAGCTATTTTAGTACAATAATTCCCTGCTATTAAAAAGATAAGGGAAAGAAAAAAAAAAAAAGGAAAGGATAGCATGTCCTGGTTTCGATCCAGGGTCCTAGTGATTATTAGTTTTAAGTTCATATAGTAATGAATATTGGTTCTGACGTACCTCCGGGTTATGAGCCCGGCGCTCTTCCCCTGAGCTAACATGCTGATTGGACAGAAGTTTATATTCTTCTTGAACATATGAAGCAAGAAGTTGAAATTAAGGAGTATGTAGTAGATTCTTAAGGAATCCTAAGTCATCTTCGGTGCAGCACATACCAGCCTATCAAATCTTTCTTCCCGTATTATTATAATTTTATAGCCATGTTGTTACACATAAAAGTGACTGTAATAGGTATTTGTGCGCAGCTCCTGTTATAATATACCGGCATGCTCCTAGGTGTTACGGACCCTTCGACATGAGGGGCCGCAACCTACAGATGGGCCACCAAGAGCCAACCGTTCCTAGGAAGGAACGCAGGATCAGAACACGTGATCAACGGCCGGAATCAGCCTCCGATTCGCCGTCTCAAGCTATACCGCCATACCCAACCGCACGGCTAGGCATCACGTGACTGCATGGGGGTATACCAGCGGGTAGATGGAAGGGTACGGTTTAGTATACCACCAGGTGTACCTGCCAATATACCGCACCACGGAGGGTTAGATATATAAGAAAATTCCTTCACGCACATGTATTTAATTCTTCGTGATCAATTCCAATCTAAGTTACTACACTATACCTTTCGGAGTCGGACTATTCTTCATTCAGTTTCAACCCTTGTGACAAACATACTACAAGTAGGGGAGCTCTTCGGACTGACCTACTTGGCACCCTATCTGGCACATCCTTCGAAGTTACTCAACAGGACCCGAGCATGTGTAAGGCTTATCATAGCAACGGTGCGGTTGCGAGTCGATACTTGAGGATTATCTAGTGGTGTTCGGGAGACGCCGTTTACAGCCGCCTCCGCTCCTATCGAAGTTCTACTCGATAGCAAGGTACGTTTACCAACTGTCTACCACTAACCGAGTGACCGTTTAGCGTGTGCGTAACACTAGGTACCTGATCCTACTATATGCATAACATTCAAGTTGCTTGGGAATATCAAATTAGTCAGAGACCCAGAGCTTTGGAGTTCAAGTTGATGGCCTTCTAAGGGGTTTAGGCTACTGGAATGACATATAAGCCCAGGAATTTACCAGTACAGTGGCAGCTATGCCTGTTTGAAAGAGTGCAATAATAAGACCGCAAATTGAACTTGAACAGAGTAAGCTAGTCAGGTGAGCATTATTGGTGATACCTAGGTCGGAGATCAGAATGTGAGGATGCTCAGATACCCGCAGAGACAAGATACGACGTAGCAAATCAGGCAAAGGAAATAGTAGCGGTTCGACGAGAGTAGTAACTTGAGGAGAAGAAGGAAGCTGAGATCAAATTAGATACGTGTAGGCGTGGATGCCTAAGTGGATGCTATAGGCGTAAGTAGACCTGTGCATGGGATTTCCATTCCCATAGGAATGGGATAGGACTGAAGGCCATGCCCATGGGAGTCTCATGGGACTCCTATGGAAAATACGCTAACTATATATGGCTAGGGTATATCTTTGATCTAACCTAAGAAGGTAATTTTTGACATTTCATGTAACCTTTGTCAAAATATATATCTGCGTAGCAAGTTCCTACACCACCACTCTGATATATATTTTACTTAAATTTATATTGATTATCAATTAACTTATTATCTTTTAATTAATACTAATTTTATTTAAAAACAATTATTCAATATGTCTTGGCAGGTCCCATGGGATGGGATAGGATTGATAATTAGTCCCATGGGATCTTGGCAAATGGGATGGGAATTGATTCTTACTCCCATAGGTCCCAGATGCACAGGTCTAGGCGTAAGGCATCCACGCCTACACCTGTTTGTAGCTTCCATCCTAGCTTCCTCCTTCTCTCTCTCGAGCTATTACTTTCGTTCGAACCGCTACTGCCTCATTGTCTTATCAGCTGTTTTCTAGAGCCAATGGACCGCCACCATGCGCTGCCACGTAATGCTGGCATATTCCTACACCGCTAGAAGATATATCCAATCCGCGGAATCAACATTCACAGTAATCCCCCCAAGGTTATGTTAAGATTCCAACTCAACTTGAAGTGTTAAGCCTTAATGTTCTTTCAAAACGAGTCCCTTTCTATTCAGTGAGACTTAGCGAACGACCTTCCCGAGACAATTCCGAAGAAAGCTCTCTATACGGTGGAACCTGCTGAGTCATTCACCGTGACCCCTCTAAAAAGCACCACCCCATCAGAGGAGGCGGCCTTAGGGAGCGGTGAACCTAGAAATGTCCGGCAGAATGAACCACCGGCCCAAAAGGGATCCAACATGCGCATCGATCCAATCCCTCATCCTCTCAGTGCCACAGCTCCCTCGCTACAGAGACGTCTTTCTCTCCCTACTACTCCTTGTCCATTGACAGGGTGACAATATCAGTTTCTTACCTTGCTT